TGTTCTTTTCATCTGGTCCTGGTAACTTATTACTGTTTAGTTTATCAATTTGTTCCAAAACCTCCTCTAATGACACCTCAATCTGGGACAGTTCCTCAGATTTGTCACCTAAAAAGAATGGCTCAGGTTTGGGAATCTCCTTCACATCCTCAGCCATGAAGACCGATGCAAATAATTCATTTAGTTTTCATTTATTATTATTTAAATACATATATGTGAAAGCTGTGATTTGTACTCCCACTCAGAATGAATATCACTATTTTAATACAGCTATCTGTATTTAATTTTTCCATGCAGACAGCAAACATGTTCTATATTGTGATTATGATGGCAATAGTGTTGCTGAGTTTTGGGGTATCACGAAAGGCGATCCTTTCTCCAGAAGAGCCTCCCACCTGGACTCTCGCACGAGATATTGTGTTCCAACCCTATTGGATGATGTTTGGTGAGGTCTATGCTGGAGAAATAGATGGTAAGTAATCTTGATGGGACTACTAATGTGCTTAAAGTTAAGTATGTGCTTAAGTGCTTTGCTGGATTTGGGTCATACAGCTTGGGCCAACTATAAAGTCCATACTTCCTCAAAGCATGTTGGTTTCAGTGTGCATCTTATGTTATCTGGCTATATCATGCATGATCAGAAAGGAGAATATTCCCTTTCGGATCTTTGTTAAATCAGCTTTAGAGCCTTAAATTTAACCTTGTAAATGAAGTCACAAAGCCCATGACAGAGCACGTGGGAGCTAATGACAAAGCATTTTTCATTCAGGGGATCCTGCTTTGGAATGAATTTCTGGAGGAGATTAAGTCAATCCAAAATCTGACCATCTTGAATAAATACTGCAGAGCCTTTTCACCACAGCAAGAATTACACTCATAACATCGAAACCCCCATCTACCCAAACTGCCCCCCACAAAAACCTGTAACAAACAAATGTTTGTTGATTTGTGATTTGAAGAGGTCTAAAATTTTTCTTAAAAACAAAGGGAAAACTCCTCAGTTGGTATAAACTAGCACAGATCCTCTAAAATCACTAGGGTTTCCCTGCTTTACACCAGATGAGATCTGTCCTTCTAGAATGAAACGCGTATTAAATATTAACCTACCAGGGCTATGCTGATTTATGTGGTAACTGTGGTTTTCATTTCCTTTCTGTGAAGCTTGTGAATTAAATGAAGACTGCCCTCCTGGGTCCTTCCTGACGCCATTCCTCCAAGCTGTATACCTCTTTGTACAGTACATCATCATGGTCAACTTGCTGATTGCTTTCTTTAAGTAGGTACCAATGAGATGTTGTTGCAAAACCAAACCAGTGGCTATGCTACAAATATTTCTACAGGAGGATCCAACAAAAGCCCCCCCCTTTAGCCTATGATAAACCCCTAACTTCCAGGGTGTACTTGTGCTTGTAAACAGGTGGAGGTTCTGTCATTTGGTGCAGTCTAATCCACCCTAAATAAAAAATGCTGCTTTAATCATTATTTTTAAGAATCATAGGGTGAATTTATCTCTGGCATCCTTTGCATCCAGAGATGGGAAGTGCCATCAAAGACAGAGTAATCACCACAATTTCTCTTCCAGTTTGGTGGTGGAATTTTAATAAGAGGCTCCCTGGAGACCCCTCCATTGCACTGAGGTCAGTTTCTCCTGACTGTTAATGCAAAAGAGCAATGCATATAACTAGAGCACTGGCAGTGAAGAACAATCCAAACCTTCTAAACAGTTTTTTTATTCTATAATTTCAATATTTCAGTGGAGAATTTCTTTCAAATCTATTCCCAGCCATAGATTAAAAAAAAAATCAACTTGAAGAAATGCAGTGATTAGAGTTCAAGGCAATTGAATGATCAACATCCATCTTTGTTTCCATTCCCAAACAGAAATTCCTGTGCTGAAATTATGGCAAGGCAGGATTTCTTTTTCATATATAGCTGTGAACAGGGCCGGCTCTACTGTTTTTGACGCCCCAAGCAGCGCGCCGAATTGCCGCCGCGGATGGCGGGGGCAGTCTGTGTGCTGTTAGGGCAATACGCGCGTTTCCGCGGCGGCGGCAATTCGGCGGCAGCTTCTGTCTTCAGCCGGAAGATAGAAGCCGCAGAATTGCTGCCGCGGGCAGCTGAACATAGAAGCTGCCGCCGAATTGCCGCTTCCGTGGAAATGCGCATGCCGCCCTAACGGCACACGGACTGCCCCCGCCGTCCGCGTTGGCAATTCGGCCCAGAGCGGCAAAAACACACGGACTGCCCCCCCTTGCAGATTGCCACCCCAAGCACCTGGTTGGAATGCTGGTGCCTGGAGCCGGCCCTGGCTGTGAAATTGCAGTGTGAATTATTTCTATATTTAAATCTTCAGTAGCAACGATGTGCTAAACCCAACATTTCTGCAGTTTGGTTTCTTTCTCATTGGACAAAAATTGGTTATCCTCAGTACAGACTTAGCAGTACATCTAATTATTCTCTCAAAAACAGAACTGATGTTGTTATGATTCACTTTTGGGTCTTCAAGAGCCAGGTGTGATCAGGCAATTATAAATAGATTGAAATGAAAGCTGTGCCTCAAGACTGAAGGTCACTTTCCAGAGCATTGGCCTGTTGTTGTACAATAAACTGTTGGATGTTTTTTTCAGTGCCAACTTTAGCAGTGTCACTGACCCCAAAGAACCCTTTGCAGGAGAGCCTTTTGAACTGCTGCTGCCTGCTGTAGGGTGTTGGTGGAAGGAGACATGGAGAGGGAAGTGGAGGAACCAGTACTGAAGAACAATTTCCATTCTGCAGCATTGTTTTGTTACAACCATTTCCCTGGCTGCCAGTCCTGATTCCGACATTTAATCCAGTTCAGATATTCAGGCAATGTTGAATTCTTGAGATTATTTGACAGGGAGGAGGGAACTTGAAACACTCTGAGATTTTCAAAGCCACCTCAGTGGGTTTGATGCACAATTCCCATTAATTTTAATGGGAATTGGATGTCCAAATCTGTGAGGCAACTTTGAAAATGTCGGCCTCTGTGCATTGTCTGCCTCTACCTGCTGCTGCTTTGTTAAATTAAAGTTGCTAAACTGATTTACCCCATTTTAGGATTGGGCCCTTTGTTTCAATAGTGCAGTGTATCTGGAGACAGGCATCTTGTGTTATCAGGTGTTCCTTACATGAACCTCTCTCTTTTTCTCCCCTCTCCCTGTTTTACAGTAATGTTTATTATGATATGAAATCCATATCAAACAAGCTCTGGAAATACAACCGTTACCGCTACATCATGACGTATTACGAGAAGCCATGGCTGCCACCGCCTTTCATCATTCTGAGCCACATTGGCCTCCTCATAAACCACATCTGCCACCATCGTCCCCCAAATGAGCTGGATCAAGAGGAAGGCGATGTTGGACTAAGTAAGCAGAGGGCAAGTTTTCCAGGCCTTCTGCTGGGGGGCCTACAGGAATAAGTGATCAGGGATGTTTTGCTAGCCTTCCATCGCCTTGTTGGTGGGCTTGATAGTGAAAGGGACACTTGCTGAGGTTTGTACTGTAAGACCTAATTTGGCTATCAGCCCAGACCAGTAAGGGGTTGTGTCACCACCTGCCCTGCAACTCTGGGTGCCTTAAATGCTATGCTGCTGTGCCTCACAGCCCTGATGCTAACAGCCCACATACAAGTATGCAGGTCACACCCTGGCTTCCACCATCCAATTACTTTTTGCAGAGTGAGCCCAACACCACCCCAGTTCTGAATTTCCCCCATATCTGCTGATGTGACAATCTGCTGAGGTTCAATGTTTCACTTGCTCAGGCAAAGGGGGTGAGTTTTTGCTACTGCTAACTTTTGTGGTAACTCCCTGACGCATCAACTTGTCAGCACACTATTAGGATTCTGCCAGTCCAAACGTTTCCTTGCTGGCCACAATCCGTGAACCCTAACTCCCGAATCCCCCAGTGCTGACCAGTCCTCTCCTGGAACATTGACAGACATTAAGTTCATTGCTCCTTTAAAGAGACAATATGCTGCAGCTCACTAATTTAACTGGGGTTTGACAAACACTCTTATTTCAATCACAGCATTGAAATGGTTTATAGTAAAATTAAACCAAGTTTATTTAACAAAAGGACATGGGAGTGGGTGATACCAAATATAAGGAATAAAGGTAGACTGGGTTACAAGCAAACACAAGTAAAAATGCACTTATAAGATTAAAAATTAATTTCAGCAAGTTACAATCTTTGCCTCACCTATATTTGGTTCCCAAAGACTTCAACCCTCTTGGTTGAAGGATCAAATGTTCTGTGGTTTCAAGAGCTCTGGACCCTTGAATCCCTCAAGTGAGAGACAACTCAAATGTCTTTTTGCCCCATCATATCACCCCAAAGTTCATTGTCTCTGTTTCAAGGGCCAGGAAGGCTTCCTGCTATTCTTTCCTTCCTGTGGACATCCCACCCCCGTGCTGATTCATGTGTGTTAGGGTTTCCTCTGACACCTTATCCACTCAGGGGTATGTTAGGATGGTTTCTGAGACCATATCCACTTGGTAGCCCCTGAGACCTTATTCACTCGTTTCCCAAGAACTCAGCTCAACTCCAAACTCATCACTGAGGTTCATTTATTAGCATACAGTCAAACTATATGGAGCTGATAAGACTCGTGTGGGGATGGGTACAGTGTATACCACACATACAGAGTACAAAATTATTAATCAGCTTATATACACATTCAGAAACAAACTGCCACATGTGCTTTCTATTCTACGTTGTATCACACGCTCTGTAACTGGTTCATTAGTTTCTGGGAAACAATCTCTACACAGATCACAAGCTGTTTATACACCGCACGTATGCTATCTCTTGCATATTGCTTATTGCCCTACTATCTCTTTTCTACTAGCTACATATTTTACATATTTACAAGGCTACTGTGAATGCACACTTTGTTCATTGTTGCATGCCCTTGCTCAGAATAAATCTACATTCCACACTTTTTTTTCTTTTATAGATATAACTTTTTCAGTTTAATCATATTTCTTTCTCTTTTTGTTTTTGTTTTTAAGATGTATTACTCAGCAGCATATTCCCAGGACCACAATGGTGGCTATTAATTGTATACACATTAATAATAAACTTATTGTTTGAACCCTGGCTTGGAGGCTAACCTCCTCTAGGATAGCCCACCATAGGTTAACTGGTTTTGCAATGCTGGTATAACCATCTCACTACTTTGTTTGGATATGAGTTGGGTGATAGGTACCAGCTGTTCCAAAGTGCATTCTGCAAACCCCTGATTTTATTTCTGCTATTTCCTGAACCAAATGAATTACAAGTTTATTACTGTATATACCACATGCAACAGCCTTGGACATATTATTATCGTGATCAGCAGTTCTGGCCATTAAGTTTTTAAGATCCAGGCTTAAGGGAGGATTCCCAAACTTGGCTACTACTTTTAAAACATCCTTTTGCCTATATTTCAGTCACATTATTAAAAAAAAAAAGATAGGAGATATAATGTTTGTATCACCACAGGAAATTAAGGTGTGAAACAGCACATAGGCCAATTAAAATAACATTCCTTGGGTCCATACTGGAAGTGGCCCCCTTCAGCTACTACACACTACTTGCCATTCCCAGTATACATAGTGTTTATTTCACCAACTTCCCAGCATCTCATCTATACTGTGCAATTTGCAGACTGTTGCACCACAGTGAACCCACATGCCGGCAACTCTGTCTGTAAGACATTACACATGCACATGTAAATGTGCCCCAGGTGCAAACAGCAATACAAGTTGCAGATGTAGTCACTGTCAACAACTTAGGGCGGACGGGTAATCTAGTGAATATGGCACTGGACTGAGACTGAGAACTCCTGGGTTCAATACCCAGTTGAGCCACAGACTTCCTGCATGATCTTGAACAAGTTGTTTAATTCCCCATCTGTAATATTGGGATAAAATGTCCCTATTTCACAGGATTGTACCTACATTCATAAATTTGAAAGCCAGACAGGGCCATTATGGTCATCTAGTTTGACCTCCAGCATAATACAAGCCACAGAACCTCATCCAGTAAGACAATACTCAGTATTAAGAGGATAAAATCCATTAATGATTCAGGTCCTAAGATAGTATGTGATGAGGCCATATAAATACCGAAATAGACAGAGATGTCCAGTAGTTAATAGTGGTCAGGAATCTATGCCTGATTTTTCAGGAAATGCAATTTCTGACCCGTGCACCTGACCTATTGTGCAATGCTGTACACAGGTGGAGTTTTCCTTCTTGGCTGCTATAGCAATCAGGCAATGATGACAAGAAGCATGACATTTGATAACCCCTATCTCAGCGTGAGTAAATAAAAGCTGCTTATAGATTTAAAGGAGCCATAAAATGAAACCATTCAAAAGATTTGGTTATGCAAGTGAACAATATAAGTAACAGGAAGTCCCTGCTTAGCTAGTTTCCTGCCCACATCCAAAATATCCTCTTTAAATTAGACACCAATGTTGCTGTTACTTAGCACCAGGATGCTCTACTCCATAGTAATGGACAACTTTATGCTTTTTGGAATACAGTGCATTGCAGTATGCATTCTTTATGCTTATAATGGGGTGTTTCACAAACACATCCCAGGTTATTGATAATCTGTGCTTGCTGTGCTGAATATGTATCCCTAAAGATATCAGTTATGGTCAGAACTGATAACTGACGCCATATTCAGGATTAACTAGTTAGAGTTTAACCACTTCACTGCTAGTCCTTGTTTCAGCTCCTGTGCTGTGGAAGGATGCAGCATCATTCCTTTGAAGTAGTAATGTTCCTCTGGAATATTTGCATGCCATAAGTGAGTAAACTGGCACATGGGACAGCTTGTTTGTAGGGCACAGAAAACCTAAAAGAGCTGTTTAGCTCACTTAAAGGTTCTTTGAATAGAGAGGCTATTGACTTGGCTTCACACATTTTTTCAGACAGTTATTTCAGGTATTTGAATTTGCTTACAAAGCCAAAACTATATCGAAAACAGCTTAGCAAGTTTTTTTCTGCATGAAGTTAAAGTTCTGTAGATCAGTGTCTATCCAGGACATAGGGAAACTGTGCCACCCAGTGGAAAATGAATGCATATACAAAGGCATGGTAAATGGAGGTTTCAGAGTAGCAGCTGTGTTAGTCTGTATCCGCAAAAAGAACAGCAGTACTTGTGACACCTTAGAGACTAACAAATTTATTAGAGCATAAGCTTTCGTGGGCTACAGCCCACGAAAGTCGGATGCATAGAATGGAACATATATTGAGGAGATATATATACACACATACAAAGAGCATGAACAGGTGGGAGTTGTCTTACCAACTCTGAGAGGCCAATTAAGTAAGTGAAAAAAAACTTTTGAAGTGATAATCAAGATAGCTCAGTACAGACAGTTTGATAAGAAGTGTGAGAATACTTACAAGTGGAGATAGATTCAATGTTTGTAATGGCTCAGCCATTCCCAGTCCTTATTTAATCCTAAATTGATTGTATCTAGTTTGCATATCAATTCCAGCTCAGCAGTCTCTCGTTGGAGTCTGTTTTTGAAGTTTTTCTGTTGTAAATAGCCACCCGCAGGTCTGTCATTGAATGACCAGACAGGTTAAAGTGTTCTCCCACTGGTTTTTGAGTATTATGATTCCTGATGTCAGATTTGTGTCCATTAATTCTTTTGCGTAGAGACTGTCCGGTTTGGCCAATGTACATGGCAGAGGGGCATTGCTGGCACATGATGGCATATATCACATTGGTAGATGTGCAGGTGAATGAGCCCCTGTATCAAACTGTCTGTACTGGGCTAGCTTGATTATCACTTCAAAAGTTTTTTTTCACTTACTTAATTGGCCTCTCAGAGTTGGTAAATGGAATCATCCAGACAAGCACAGAAAGATCATGGGAAGGACCTATTAGATTATTGAGTACATCTCACTGCAAAGAAGGATGTAGTACTCCAATAGAGGATGTACCATGTATTACAAAGACACAATAAAATCTTTTAATGTCAACCTTTGCTAACCATTGCCTCACAGTTTCCGCACAGTTACCACAGTGTAGTGGGAAACTATGGTATCTCAGACATCACTATGTGGTAACTGCTGACAAATGCTGTCCATTGCAGTATAGTTGCTAGAGACCATGGCAAAAGAAAATTTGAAGACCAAGTAAAAGGAATTTAGGTCTATTTTTTAAAGAAAATTTTTGCCAAATGCATTGTGTGAATGGAGATATTATAGTTCCCAAATCTGAGAATCCCAATACATGAAGAAACATATCTCTGGAGTGTTGAAATTCACTTTGAAGTTGCTGGAAAAAAAAAAAACACCCCCCCCCCCCCCCCAAAAAAAAAAAAAAAAAGAATTTGGAAGATGTGGAGAAGAAAACAATGAAATATCCTGAAGAGAAGTTCTCCAGATACTGACTAATTGTTTGATATTGTTTACATGTCTTAGCAGTAGCTTAGACTTGACCAATTCTGTGAAAAAATCTTTTATTGGCCTACTGTAAGAGTAGTCTCAAAGCATGCAAGCTTGTTACATGTATCTGGAGTTGTACATTTAAATATGTATTGCAATATCCCTTGGTTAATATTTGTATACATATGAATGTTTGAAAGCAATTAAGTGAAAAAAGTGAAAAAGAACTCCATGACCACCTATCACACTGAATGTTTGAAAGAGCCCTGGTTGCTATAGCTGGTGTAAATTCTCTTTAGAAATGTTTTGAGACAAGGTAGAGCAGTCATATGAAAGAAAAGCCTCATAAGTAAGTCATATAGTGGAAAGTATTGGGTATTAGGTATAACTATATAAACATAATGCATGAAAATACTGGAGAGAAAAAGTATCTCTAAGATCAGTTATTTGGCTGTGCATTTTCAAATCTTTTTATAAAATGAGTCAATATGCAAGAGGGCATGTATCAGCTGCCCTTTCTCTCCTTGGATTGAGAAAGATGCTATAAAGCACATATACACATGTTTGGAATGTACACACATCACTAGTCTCCATATATAAGCACAGTTTCAAGAAACGAAAGGAAATATATTTTAACAGTTTCTTTCTTTTTTTAGTAAAGCAGGGCAAATGAATTTCTTTGTCAGTATGTTTGGTACCAGCTATCATCTTATTTGTTTAGAACTCTACCTGAGTGATGAGGACTTGAAGAAACTTCATGAGTTTGAGGAGCAGTGTGTGGAGAGGTACTTTCATGAAAAGAATGAAAGCTTGAATTCCAGTGACAGTGAGAGGATCCGTGTGACATCAGAAAGGTATGAGGGATTTGCTGCTGCTGAAACCTACCTAGAATGGGTATAAAAGACTGTTGGCTAACTAATGTTTTGAATACAAAGTATAGTTGCTCCAATATATGTGTGCGGGGAAAGAGGAAAGGGCTTATATAGCCCTTTCTCCCACCCTGCATCCATAATGTATCTATTTAAACTAAGTGCAAAGTGTGACTGGTTAATGGTTCTGGCAAAAATGCACTCCCACATGTGCAGTACATGAGCAGTTGAGGGTGTGGCTAGGGAATCACACCATTTTACCTTTGCAAACTATGTACCACTAAGAGGATGGTAGCGGGGTGGAGCATGTGTAACACATTTTTATTTGCAGGTTTATTAATTACCAGTGATGAGCATTCTTCTCACAGTGACCCTAGATGATGTATACCTATCATTCATGATATGGAGACCTAATAGCTACCGCCCGTATGGAATTACTTTTGTTATACTTTCAGCTACACTTCCTCCCTCTAGTCATAACATGTCAAAGGTGTGCTCATTGGGACTTCCAAAAGCACAAGTGCTGGCCTAACTCAGCTTCCTCATTCCCCAAAACTCCTATTGACTTCAATGGAAGCAGAGTTAGACCAATGATGAGTGCTTTTGAAAATCTCACACAAAGTGTCACCATTGAGCTATTAGCATAAATTTATTTTGCCTAGTGAAATGTAGCCCACTTAACACATTACCTACTCATGGACTTCATTTTCCATATACCAAACCAAAATGCATACAAGAAAATGAATGAGTCTTGTAAAAAAAATGGCCGATAAAAAGATAGATTTGTTCATACAGCGAATTTCTATTATACCAGGAAGATCTGAGTTAATTGAAAACTGAAGTGATAAACAATAGATCAGTTAAATGAAAATGTATTTAGCAGAATAGAAAGAACCCCTCTTAAAAGAATACTGCTTAGATGAATAACATTTTTGGATCACCAAGGTTTCTTTGTAGCATGATTTCTATTCAGCACAGCTGCTGGTTTAGATTCTTGGAGGTATCCAGATACGCTGCATCCTTTAGATACCTTGCTGCTAATAGAATGCAGTTACTCTTGTGTACTGCCTGCTTCTAGTTTACTGCCTTTGTACATTGGTGGGATGACATATGGAGAGATTATATGATCTAATCTATCTATAGCTAAAACTAAGAAAATCATTTAGTTAAAATTAACTTATTGGATCATTTCAGGTTGGGAACTTCTCACAATGTACATTAAGGGTTTGAAGGCCTTAAAATACTTTGCTTGACTGGCAGATGAATTCTACAGAGAAAGTAAAAGGTAGCATTCAGATGTATAAAATATGAACCAAGGTGGCAAATAGATCCTCTGAAAAAAGTTCTTTCCCCACCAGGTTTTTATATGTAAGAAATGAAAAAAACTAATCTGTAGTCCTGTGAGCCCTTTTAGAGTGATGATTTGTTTGTTTTTTTTGTACAAGAAAGAAAGAGACCTCTGAAGACAGAAGGGCTCACAAGCAATTTACCCATATTTTCCAGTTCTCTCTTGTTCTCCATGATCATTAACTTTGTGCCAGCAAGCGGTGGTTGATTTGAATGTGTTAATTATTAGAGTAGATTACCCCCCATGGAAAAGTCAGTGTAAAATTCATTTTAGGCTTTCTAGCTTTTAGCCCAGTAGTTCTGAATGTAGATCATGAATCAGGTTAGTTTATCATCAGATAGAGGTGTTTATGAAGATGGAAACCACGGTAGAAAAATAGGAGTGGATTGTTTAATTAGAGAATGGTAAAGATTTTCTCTGTTTTAATGTTTTTATTCATCATTTGGAATAAAGGAATAAAATAATACAAAGATTTCTTCCTTATTATTTTAATATGGGTGTGTTTTTCCCTAGAGTGGAGGAGATGTTTTTGCTGCTGAAGGAAGTGCATGAGAAGGTGTTCTACATCAAAGACTCTTTGCTGTCCCTGGACAGCCAGCTAGGACACCTGCAGGACCTCTCTGCCTTGACTGTCGATACCCTAAAAGTCATTTCTGCTGTAGACAAGTTGCAGGTAGAGGAGGCCCTGCTGGCTGAGACAAAGCACCGAGCCTGTAGGAAACTGCCACATAGCTGGAATAATGCCATGTATTCGAAGACTTTGAGCAGTTTGGAATGTTTGAATGATAAGAATTACAACTACTACAGCATGCCTCCTTCCCTTCTAAGGAGCTTGGCAAGAAGTCAGTGGTCATCAGAGTGCCATAGCCACGTTGTTGAAACTGGGGACTACAAGGACGTGAAGATAGCAGGCGTCCAGAAAAAGCAAGAAATAGAAAGTGACACACTCACTTCTGGGGTATCCTCTGAGAGTAAATCAACCCCTGGATATGGACAGTTCCTCTTGGTCCCACATCAGGGAGCAGCTTCCACTGAAGAGGTCCACTTGAATTTGTCCCTTCCAAGCACTCCTGCCAAGTACAGGCGAGATGATTTGGCAGCTAAGCAACAAAATAACCACGGTAGCACTGCATTGCACCAAAGTTTGCAGAGTACTAATCTCACTGAAAAAAAGGCAAAAAATTGCCAAGAGAGACAATGGGACTCCATTATTCAGTTACCATCTGAGAAGGATAATGGGATTGTGGTGGAGCACTCTGTGAGTCCCCAGCCATCTGCCACTGACAGGGAGACCTTAGTGCCCTCACACAACTCCAGTGAGGAAACCAGAGGTGGTTATGTGAACTGGGGGTTCTCTGAAGGGGATGAAAAAGGAGTTGTATGCAGTGAGAAAAGGCAGCAATCGTGCATGCATTCCACCTGTAACAGTGACTGCAACTGCACCCGTGGTACTCCACAGCATGTCCAGATAAAAGCATCAAAATCCTTCTCCTACAACTCAGACAAATCAGGATATGACAGTGACACCTCAGAGCCTGAGCCCATGTGCCAGCGTAGCACCATCTTCTGGATCAACCCACTCAGGAGAGACTGGACTTTCCACAAGAGCAGCAGCTTTCAATCCCGCAGGGGAGAGAAAGTGGGGAAGACCTGCAAAACCAAAGGTAGTAATATTAAAATATTATATTATGATAGCATCTTTCACTGAGGTTTGAGGAACTGCACGGGGGAAAGGAAGGGGACTATTCTTCAGTTTAATATTATTTATTGAACCTTCACTTTCTAATCAAATCTTTGTTGTATAATAATTTAATTTTGTTTTTCTTTACCCTCAGAGCTATCAAAATCTGCAGAGTTGATCCCGTCTGTATGGACAGAAGCAAAACAACAGAACAGAGACAGACAATCCCAGAAGGACAAGAAGAAACAAAAAACGCTTCAGGTGCCGGTAGGTACAGGTATAAGCTGAATGCAATGTTCTCAATCTGCCTTGGTAGCTCTTTAGTGACAGTATTGTACTAGGGGATAGTAAAGTTAGCATTAATGCCCACTGGGGTTTTAGCCCTGGAAAAGTACTGCAGTCATGACCAAACTGGAAAGCCCCTAAATAATTAATCCCAAATCTATTGTCTTGGTTTGTTTTTGTTTAAATTCTCTTTATTTATAATGTTTAGTGGCCCAATCCTGCACCCACCGAAGTCAGTGAGAGGTTACCATTGACTTCAAAGGATGCAGGATCAGGCCCTAAATCAGTTTTGTGTGGTAAGGACTCTTGTGCTCACTTCCTGATTAAGGCCAGGGTTTGGGAGGGTGCACTTGAATAATGGGACAGAAGGAAGGAGCAGCTTCAATCATGCCATCAGTTGCTGACAGTCAAGATCCAAGCTTTTCTGACGGGAGCTTGCACAGAAAAAAAGAAAAGCCCCTTCTTTGCCTCCAACCTACAGCAATCCAATGCCCCCTTCCCTGAGTCCTAGCTGCTTTTTAAGGGAATGTGGAGTGCATCAGTATTTTTTTACAGATTCCCAACATCTTTGTGAGCTGGAGAACTGTTATCCCAATTTTAGTGATGAAAAAGCTGAGGCAGAGGAAGGTTTAACTTCATTACTTAATAATGGCTTATTGTGCAGGCTAAGCAGAGTTATGAATAGAACCCTGAAGTGCTGATTCCCATCACTAGACAGCATGATAAACAATTCTATTTTAAAGATTGTGTATTAAAAAGTCACAGGACTTTCATTTTAAATATCAGCTGACCAGCTTTGTAACATTTTCTATACACGTGCAATGTGTTTTCCGCAACATGTAGCAAATACAGAAAATATTTTTCTCAATTATTGTATTTCATAGTGGCTAGAGCTGGAATCTAGGAGAGAGAAAACCCTAGGTTTCATCCTCTGCCCTGTCACTTGCCAGCTAATATTGATCAATTCTCTGTGTTTCAGTTTACCAGTCTATAGTAAGGGAAGAATAATACATTGTAATCTGAGTTATCTGAAAGACCCATAGGACACCAAAACCTTCAAGTTCCTTTCTGCTCTTCCACAAAATATTATGTGCGGAATTGCTTTACCATATAAGCACTTCAGCCAGCTTTGCTTCCCTCACAGCCTCTGGTCTTCCTTGTCCCTGCACTTCCCCTGTTCAATTGTTTGGCCTTGGGCAAAGCCCGGTAAACCACTTCTATTACTTGAGCATCATTTTTCTGAAGGTCTGAAATCTGAAACAGGGTACCAGGGGCTTTCCGGGGGTGTTTGCATAGGGGAGGTTAGGATAACTAAGGGTACGCTGCACTCGTCTTTCTCATGGAGGTATTTTGAGACTTATTTCACATCGTTTGTAAAGCATTTTGAGACCTTATGCAAGCGAAAATAATTATTGTTGGTATTCCTCTTGCAATGATTCTAAGAATCATGCCACAGAGAAGCTGCAGAGCTGCTTGTCTTATAATATTGAGTACAATTTTTTCTGTCCCATGCCAGGTGATTACAGTGGATGGTTGTCCCCAGAGCACCCAAATGAGCTCAGAGCCAGCAGAAAGCTGTTTCTTGGGTGAAGACAAATACAACAAGAACTGGCTAACTGTATCTAATTTCAATCAGCTAAGTATGTAACATTCTTCAGCTGATGAAGCTCAGAACTCTTGAATAAACCAGTAATAGTTCATGAGCCTAAAGTGTCACCAATCACTACCACCTCAGGAGGCAAATTATAGGGTCAGATTGTGAACACACACTGTACACACACTCATTCCTGCCACTCAAAGGGATGGGCAGACAGAAGCATGGAGTGGGTGGAGTCTGGGCTCCATCTTCCTCCAGTTTGCTGGCCACCACAGCTGAGCTGTTCCAGGAGATGGGGTAGTAACTTGCTATTGTTGTGGTACTGTAGCAGATTACTACTGCTCAGGAGTAAACCGGGATTAGGGAATGGAACTGTGTCTCTGTGAGGCATGATTCCTGGCCTGGGGAATTTCTGGAGTATCACAGCATCTCACTGTACAAGCGCAATCTAGCTGCTATTGGTAATTTTTGAAGAGGTTTATGGTCATAGGTATTACTATGATACTGTATGCATTGGTAGATTAGCTGTTTTTTGGTAATTTTCATCCATTTGATGTACCAACCTTCTATTTTCCATTTGCAGCATAATGGATAATCAGCCATACATTCTTAGGTTACTCAGATGTCATTGCTCAGAATACATTCTTCATTGAGAAGTAAATTTATGTCACCTGTATTTGAGTGATAAGTTCTTAGTAATGCGTCCACTGTAGCTGTAGCCATGTTGGTCTCAGGATATTAGAGACAGAAGGTAAGTGAGGTAATATCTTTAATTGGACCAACTTCTGTTGAGAGAGACAAGCTTCTGAGCTACACAGAGCTCTTCTTCAGGTCTGGGTTAAGTTCTAAGGAATGTCAAGTATCAGGGGTAGCCGTGTTAGTCTGTATCTACAACAACAACAAGGAGTCTGGTGGCACCTTAAAGACTAACAGATTTATTTGGGCATAAGCTTTCGTGAGTAAAAACCTCACATCTGAAGAAGTGAAGTTTTTACCCACGAAAGCTTATGCCCAAATAAATCTGTTAGTCTTTAAAGTGCCACCAGACTCCTTGTTGTTCTAAGGAATGACATGTCGGACTCTTGAAAGAGTTAGAGAATCACTGCTGTACCTTATACAGGCCTCATTTTAAGAGTGAGATGCTCCCACAGATCACCTTATCTCCTGACTCTGTCTCTACACAGCTCTTAGATTACGTTTTGCAGATCACCATGAAAAGCATCATGGAGCACTGATGCTCTACAGATCACAGGCCTGGGCTACATTGGAACCTGTAGGTTAACAGAAAGTGGGAACAATCTACCGTACTTCAGTTTTGTGAAATTCCATTGTTGTTTTTATATTGTTGGCTTCTAGAGTAATACGTCATACAGATATTTTATGGGTGTTTATTTTACAGTAATACTTTTCATTTCAGTTTTAGAAATATATTTTCTCTGATTACTTTCTTGGTTAGGTTTGGAACGTCTCAGTTATATGCACCAGAAAATGAAAAATCAAGAAACTGATAGGCACTCTTTGCAAATCTGTGACTCTCTGAGGCAGTCTCAAGAGGTAAGACCTGAGGACATATCATGGGCCAAATCTTCATATAAATTATTGCAGCTTCCATAGAGCTACACTGATTTTCACCAGCTGAGCTTCTGTCTAATGAGACACATTTTGATGTGTGCGAAATTTCATTTCATGCTGGCAAGGCACATCTATGGTAGTAAATGAATACTTAACAGCTATTAACACTTAGCAACAATTAATAAAGTAGGATATTAAACTAGTGAATCATGAAATGGGAATGTGTATGAAGACGATGGTCAGAAAGGTGAGCATTTATTAGTAATTCTCTAGGCCATTAAGCAAATACACAGTCTGATGTTGAATGTATGAGCAGAGGTGATTAGAGAACTAAGGCAACCTTTGGCAAGTTCATCATCTTAGCTCTTAGGTGACAATATTTATTTTATGCAAAGTGAGAGTTAAATATTTGTTCTAGTGCAAAGGTGTTTCCTACTGTATTTAGTGTGGTTTTTTTAATCTCTGGCTTTTAAAAATTATGATTTATCAGAACTGATTTGCAACCTTATATGACCGACTGGCTAAGCGGCAGTTCTGCAGAAAAGGACCTGGGGATTACAGTGGATGAGAAGCTGGATACGAGTCAGCAGTGTGCCCTTGTTGCCAAGAAGGCTAACGGCATATTGGGCTGTATTAGTAGGAGCATTGCCAGCAGATCAAGGGAAGTGATTATTCCCCTCTATTCGGCACTGGTGAGGCCACATCTGGAGTACTGCGTCCAGTTTTGGGTCCCCTACTACAGAAAGGATGTGGACAAATTGGAGAGAGTCCCCCGGAAGGCAGTGAAAATGATCAGAGAGCTGGGGCACATGATTTATGAGGAGAGGCTGAGGGAACTGGGCTTGTTTAGTCTTCAGAAGAGAAGAATGAGGGGGAATTTGATAGCAGCCTTCAACTACCTGAAGGGGGGTTCCAAAGAAGATGGAGCTAGGCTGTTCTCAGTGGTGGCAATGAAAGTAGGCTAGACAGTTGAACTTTTGTTTCTAGTCAGTTTCACTGTTTGACTCTCCTGTTTGACTTCCAAACACAACAGAGCAAGTTTAAATTTAAACAAAAGAATTTTATATTGAAGAAAAGAAATTATAGAAACATTTCTACTGATCCTAGATTCTGTAAAACATTAATTTTTGGATTAAGTCAATTTGACAATAAATCTTTAAAACAGGGCATAATATATTTTTAAGAAATGAGTTTTCCCGAGTCAGTACTTCTCAGACCGATCTATGGATCAACATTGGTCCACAGGTCTTTCCTTATTCCTAACAAGATGAAACATTTTGTGAACAAACCAATGGATTGTGGGTGGGGAGGTGACCTGTTACCAGAGGAACTTTCATGCAAAAGGTAATCTCCTGGATTAAAACATGGGAGAACATCTGAGATAGTTAATTTTAAAACTAAATTTAAGGTAATAGTTAAAGATGAGTTTTATCTAGTTTGTCTTAAAAGTTTGTCTCTGATCTTTTTATTTGAATCCTGGTGCACTCTTTTTGGGGAAAGGAATTTGCCTTGGTCAGATTTTTCAGACAAATATTGACATATCTGAGTAATACATGAGGATATTCCAAAGTCAGATTGTCCTATAGGAGCATTTTCCCTGATGTAACTGGAAGGTTTTGCACTATTAAAGGGACTAAGAACCTTAGACTGACCAAAATGAAATATATAAAATCTAAATATCATATTGACAAACTCCAAAGTTCTTAAAAAAACACCGTGCTTGGTGCGTCAAACTGTTAGATGTGTGATGTGTTTCCTTTGTGTCAGGACCCATGCTCTTTCAGTTCTGTATGGTCCCTGGGAGGAAACCTCTTCAATTTGACAGCCTGCCTCAGGAGTCACACTCTGGGGCATTAAGCCTTGGGCTCTACCACCTCTTGGAACTGCACCTCTGAGCAGGAGCGCCGCCAGCTATTTGCCGCCCTAGGCGGCGGAAGGTCCCGCCCTCAAAATGCAGCCCCCGACAGAGGCGGTGGAAGGTCCCGCCCCCGAAATACCGACGACGACTGGGGTGGCCGAAGATCCAGTCACCGCCCCCCAAATGTTAGTGCCCTAGGCGACTGCCTAGGTCGCCTAATGGGTTGCGCCGGCCCTGCCTCTGAGCCTTCAACATGCCTATATCTCTCGGTGAGCTCCCTCAGGGAGTCCATTCGCTCTGGAACCCCGGGGCCTCCACACCCTGACAGAGCAATGCAACTCCGATCTCTAGATTGCAGCCACTCTCAGCCAGTGTAAAAAAGAAGGGTTTATTGTACATCTGAACACAGCACAGAAAGTTCTCAGGGCCTCAAACATAGAAAATTTCAGCATTGTTCATCTGGGCCTGTCCAGTGTCCAGGTGGGCTCAGGCTGCTCTTTGTACCAATCCAGAAGCGACCTCTTTCCAGCCAACCACCCTATATCACCTTCCCCAAAAGCCCTTCCTTCGTCTTTTGTCTTCTTTCCCGGACAACCAGATCACCTGGACCTTCTCTCTTCCGTCCCTTGTTCTCCCAATGTCCAGAACCAGCTGGCTTCCAAGATGGGGTGGGCCTCCCAATCACCAGTTGCTAAGTTCCAGATCACCTGGAACCAGCTGCCTTCCAGATCACCTGGACCCTCTCTCTTCTGCCCTTTGTTCTCTCACTGGGCAAACCCAGCTGGCTTCCAAGATGGGGTGGGCCTCCCGATCACCAGTTGCTAAGTTCCACTGTTTCCAAGCCATTGTCTGGGGTCCAGGCAGCTAGGCGAGGTCTCACCTGGTCCTCTGCAACAACAAACACCCTCTCCCACCACCTCGTTAAACATGCAGCACATAGGGAAAACTGAGAAACAGTAAAAAGAACAGGAGTACTTGTGGCACCTTAGAGACTAACAAATTTATTTGAACATAAGCTTTTGTTAAGGTGTGACCAGTTGGGGGGATTTGCTTGCTAGTGTAACACTGTAGGACACATTTTAAAGAACTTATCCATGAAATATTTATAGTTCATATATTTCATTTTTCTGCTATAAAGGGAAATTCCCTAATAGTTTTTAAACTGTAAAATCCTTCCGCATACATTTAGAATTTTTCCACAATGCAGTCTGATATAACTGGATCACTTAAATTATTCTACTATCTACCTAAATGCATGGAGATTCTATGGAAAATTGTAACCAGACAATTTCATGTTCCAAATCAGTGTAGGCTTAATAGTGCTGTGAAACCCTTAGATTTCTGTGGGACCACTCATGGTAGTCAAATTAAGTACATGCATATGTGTTTGCAGGATTGGCAGCTTTATGAGTTGCTCTGATTATGTACGTAGGACAGTGATATATAGAATGCACCCGTAACATCATTTTTCTTCTTCTCAGGATTTGAGTAATAGCATGATTGGGACCACCAGGAAGAATAATCTGAGCAGGAATTCCTCGTATGTATTCCTTACTATTTTAAGATACTTGCCGCATACCTACAAAAGTAGACTCTATTGTAACCCAGTTCTGTAGATATTGCAGATTTCCATTTTAGTTCTATAGCACAATTAGCATGAGGAATTTGTGCATATGTAAAATGAAGGATTCAGGCAATAGACTTTTTTCAATAAAATAAAGGTTTATTGTTTAATTATAAAAGGTTACTAATTCCAATATAACTTCTAATTTTAGAAGGAACATCGATACTTTTATCTTTTTTTATCCCAGTATTATCTAATTTTCTCATGCAGTCACCACAGCATCTTAACTACTTATTCTAATCTTCTAGAGTATGAAAGGCAACATTTGCTTTTGCTGCATAAATTGTATATTTCTTTTTAAAATAACAAAAATCCTGAAAGGCTGTCATTCTCTGATTAAAATCCTTTGTATCAACTCTGCATTAGCAATAAGTCTGTCTGCATTTGCAAAATATTTGCCTTGCTTTCTATAGAGATTTTGGTGGTGGTTAAGCTTTTATCAAAGTGAAATAAAATCATACTGGCTTGAAAAGTGACTTCAGTTTTCTTGTTTATTTCTTCAAACTTCTTGGGCGTTTTTTCAGCTTGCTTGATAATTGTCTTAATATTTGGGATACTTTCATGTGTGCTCCTCTTTCTCCCTCTCTCTCTCTCTCTGCCTCTGTCTCTCGAGTTCATCACTGCAGTATACATCCCCACTACTTAGTAACATCCCTGATAAAATAAATAAAAGGCACAAAGCAATTGCCACATTCCACGCGATTTCAACATGGGATGAGGAAAAATACTGTTCTTTTTAACAGTCCATTGTGGCATACTTGCAGGCAGTAGGCAACCTGCATACATGCTAAACTGAGAACTGAACTCACAGGGCCTGATTCTGCTGTCACTTACACTGGTCTGACTTCAGTAGAATTACTCTTGATTTACACTCGTGTGAGAGGAGAATCATGCCCATAATCTTTTGTCTTTTTACCCCCTCCCTCAAGCAAAAAGCTTCCATCCAGATGTCCTAATTTTATAGGGACAGTCCTGATATTTGAGGCTTTGTCTTCTATGGGTGCCTATTACCCCCCACCCCCTGTCCTGATTTTTCACACTTGCTCTCTGGTCACCCTAACTTGAAGCAACAGAGACTGTTAAATATCAGTAGCAGTAGGGTTTACAGTATAGCCTCCCTACAGATCAGCTAACAAAGTGCAAGGCAACTGCAAAAAATTGAGCAAGTCTGATTTCATCCAGTAGAGGGCAGTGGGACACATACCAGCCAGTACATCAAAACGTAGGTTAAAATTAAAAAGCAAACTAACAATCCATCCACCCACCACTCATATCTGATTGAAGTGCTCTTTAAACAATATTGTTATTATCTAAACAAGACAGTGACCCAGAATTGTAAGCACAAATCAGAGAGGGGAAAATGCAGAGAAATACTGCTGTTCCTTAGTAACAAGTGCTCAGCTTTATGTCAAAGCAAAAAACAACTTTATGCTAGTGGTTCTTGTGTTTTATGAAGTGAGTTTAAATCTTTGTGAGTTTGAATTCACATAGTTCAAATGCTTTCATGTCATTGCTTGTTTAATCACAGAAAAGTTTGAAGCATAATTTCCTATGCTTGATTCTAAAACAGGTTGAGAAGTTCAAACGGCATTGACAGTAAGTTTTTGACTGATTATTACTTGTCTTTAATTTTTATTTGTAAATCCTACTTTCACAATTCTGAGATACATAACCAGAGTAGAAGTGATTCCATTGTAAGCATGGAGGGTAAACAGGAAGAGGGTTAACAATAATTAATACCCAACAGAAAGAATAGTATCTTTACAGTTTACTACAAATAATGTGATAATGTTTCCCCCATGCAGGGCTGGCTCCAGGCACCAGCCGAGCAAGCTGGTGCTTGGGGTGGCAGATTGAACGAGGCGGCATGGCCGCTTTTTTTTTTTTTTTTTTTGTTCCGCTCCGGCCACCCTTTAGGGGGTGGTGGCGTGGAGGACGGGAGCGCCCTCCAGCAAGCCCGGCAGGGCAGTCCTTGTCCTTTCCTCCCCGCCGACCGGAGCGGAGCCCTCCTGGCAGGTGGCGCGGCGGGATGGGCCGCGCAGCCGCGCCACACTGTAGCCCTGGCCGCCCCCCTTCTCTCTCTCCCGCCCGCTCCCTTCCCCTCTCCCCCGCTAGCTGGTCCCCCTGCACCCGCACTCCGGGTGGCAATTTTTTTTGGTTTGCCGCCCTGGCCGCCCCGATTTATTTTTTAATTTTTTTTTTTTGCTTGGGGCAGCCAAAAAGCCAGAGCCGGCCCTGCCCCCATGCTAAAGGAAATGTCCATCAATTTTGCTCAGCCCAGCAATATAAAATATCTCACACTTTCCAGCAGGAATTAACTGTGCTGTACTTAAAAAGAGACAGATGAATTCTATCCTTTGGATTGCAAGAGCGTTCCATTGGGTTAAATGGGAAGCTTGACATATATCTGAGGGTTAAGGCTAGCATAACATTTCTGATTACAATGAGTGTTTCTAAGCACAGTCATGGTTGCAGCCATCTCTCTGGTAAGTGGTATTGGGTTCAGTTCTACAATTCCTCTGCATGTGGAACTCTCATTGAAGGATCAGGTCCACTGTGGAATTGTCAGTGCAGGAGTTCAGTGTCAAAGATGGTAAATACGTTTTCAAGCTTCTTTGATATTCACTCAAGAATCTGAAGGATGACATTGTCCAACAAATGTAGAACTTTTGTATGTAGCCTTTTTTTGGTCAAGTTTATGTTCACAGTGGGTAGTACAATGGGTATTTAGGCTGAAGATGCTACAGTCACATATTAAAGAGACACCGTCAAGTTGAATTTTGTTGCAACTGATTATTTTTAAAAATGCAAGTTTCTCAAAGAGCAGACTGGCTTTTAATTCCTTAAAAAGGTTTTTAAGGTATTTTGTGTCCTCCTACCGTTACAAGAGAATTTTGGGTGGAATCAAGAATGGGGTGCCAGAACAGGGGGAGCCAGGGGGCCATGGCCCTCCCACTTTTTGAAAGTGGATGGGCCTGGCCCATCCACTTTTCTCCATGGGCCCCGCCTCTCCTCTCCCCTCCAAGGCCCTGCCCCCCAGCCAGGCTGGCAACTGGAGCCTGGTTGGGGAGCCTGGGCAGCTGTGGGCTGCCATGGACCCTCCACCTGCCCAGGGTGGGGGGCCGAGAGCAGCCCCTGGCCCGTGTCCTTGCCTAGCAGGCCCCCCGCCCAGGGCAGATGGAGGGTCCGTGGCTCCCCACTGCCTCCCTGGTGGCTCTTACCATGGCCGGGCTGTGGCAGCGGCTCCGAGGCCCCACCCCTGCAACTAAAGCTGGGTTGGGGTAAGAGCCGCCCAGGCAGCTGTGCGGAGCACGAACCCTCCACCTGCCCTGGGCAGCAGACTTGGTGGGTGGGGACATAGGCCGGGAACTGCTCTCGGCCCCCTCACCTTGTGCAGGTTGAGGGTCCACAGCTCCTCGGCCCGCTCTGGTTTCCGGCTTGGCCGGGGGTGGGGCCTTGGGAGGAAGGAGGGGGCAGGGGTGGGGACACAGAGGGAGTGGGGGCCGGGGTCCCTGCCCCCCCACTTTTGGGAAGGCTCTGCCACCCCCGGTCAAGAACAACACCAAATATTTTGAATGCTCCCTCTCCTTCCTGTACTCACGCTTGCCTGCTGCGACTTCAGTTTCAGTTTCAACTCTGCTGCTGTTGACAGAACTTGCTGAATGAACTTCAGCATCACAACAACTGTGGAAATGTGCTGTCAAATATACAAAGTAAAAAAATAAACAATTTTTGGCAAACTTCTTTCAATTATAATAATTGTACAAAAATTGTTTGTACAAAACAATAGTAGAAAAATTGTAGACAGAAATATGATTTTCAAGTTGATAGTGTCCCATCAGTGCAGTCAAGTAATCATTTTTCTTAAAGTGTTGGTCCCTATGGGTATTCACTCTGGGCACTCAGGGTCTGTGCACCCAGAACAGAAATTTTTCAATAGCAGTATATGTGGGTCTGCTGCGATGTCAGCTTGTGCTGCAAAGCAAGGGCATAAGTGAAGTGGCACCACACTGCGACAGCCTCTTCAGTTCCTCTTCTACTGCTCCTGGTCTGGGACTGAACTCTCCTCTGTAGCTTGTTCAAAACTCTACTCTTGTAAATAGTCTAGCTAGTTAGAAGTCTTAGTGTAGTTAGTTATTGGGGTTTGGGATGTTTCCTCCTGTTATTCCCCCAAAGCCTGGGCATTTATCCCTAAGGTCTCAGGCTTCAAGCCTTGCCTTCCCTGCCCCCAAGTCTTTCTGGTGGGTGACCTGCAGGAGAACTGCCTCTACTGCCCAAGGGAATCACACATAACATTGAAGTGTGAGATCTGTCACTCTTTTGTCCCATGCATTAGACAGTCTTAGGAGTTCAGACTCCACTGGCATGAGATGGTACTCGCCATGAGACCACAGTCAGATCATTCCTTGCCTCATTGGCCAGAGCTGCTGAGCAGTGCCCCGTCAGTAGTGGTGGACTCCTCTACTAGGCCCAAAGACTCTGTGAAGCGGAAGCATGATGAGGCTAAGCAGAGGCACCCTCCTAAGAGGTGGGTCAAATCTGCATTCCACACCTCAGAATCGGAGTGCTTGGAGCTCAAGGGTAATGCGGCAGGCACCGATGGTATCAGGCACTTCCTGTGCTCCAGAACCAACCACCAAAGTGCACAAGGACTATAAAGAGTGCTCACCACTGGCAGTACTACCCCACATGCCCAAGCCTGCATTGACAGATTCCATACCAGAGACTCCAGCAAGTTTTCCTCCAGCCCTGCTCAAGGACCTGGCAATCTACACGTATCCTGGACAACCACACAGCTCAGGGTTCCTGGACGCCACAAGACTCCATGTGCCACATCAACCACCTCCAGCTATGAGCAGTACACAGAACATGTCAGCAATTCCTGCCTTTCATCCAATTCACTCATAAAAGTCAGGTCAAACAATATGACCATGGTTTACTATATACAGAGGGGGAGCCAGGTCCACACCATGCTGCAGGGAGGTGGCACAGATATGAAATTGGTACTTCCACAGTCATATCACCCTCTTGGTAGTGCACCTACCATGGATAATGAACTCCCTAACATACAGCCTCATCAGGCATTTTCATGAGAGCCATGAATGGAAATACCACTCATCCATAGCACAACAGATTTGTCTTCAGTGGCAATTCCCACCTTGGGACCTCTTTGCCAACCCAGGCAAACAAGAATTTACTGTTCTTGCAATGCACAGGGATTCAGCTCCAGAGGGCATGCCGTCCTAATACAGTGGTCAGATCCACTGATATATGCCTTTCCTCCCATCTCCCTCCTACCATGCATCCTCAGGAAAATCAAGGTGACAGTAATCTTAATAGCTCCTTGGTGGCCGAAGCAGTTTTGAGTTATAATGGCTCTCCAGATGACCTCCCATCCATGCATTCACTTACAGACATCACCAAATCTACTGTCACAGAATGGGGGAAGAACCAATCATCCCAACCCTGCACCTCTCCATCTGACAGCGTGGCTTTTGGATGGGCAATGGGGTTAGAGAGATCCTGCTTGAAGAAGGTTGAGCCATCTTCCTCAATAGCAGGAAGCCCTCCACAAGGATGTGTTACATAGCCAAATGGAAGCTCTTTTCCCTTTGGTACCATGAACATCAATTGTTCCCAGAAGAGATTGGAATTCCCCTTATCCTGGACTATCTTCTCTTCTTAAAATCTTTGGGCCTCTCACTGAGTTCACGCAGCCTTTAATGCTTTCCATCCCACAGTGGAAAAAAATGTTAAATTTTTACCCATCCTACAACAATAATTTTTAAAAAAATGCATTATGGGAACATTCCCACTAGTGTCAAGGTCAGTGCTGGCTAGGAGTTTGAGCCTGGTTCTCTGTACCTAAAGGAGCTCACTGTTTGAACCTGGGCCTTCTGCTTCCTATTACATTTATCAATGAAGGTAGCTCTCCTCAGGGTTATCACCTCAATCAGAAAGATAGGCAAACTTGGGGCCCTTATTACAGATCCACCTTATACCATCTTTCCCAAAGATAAAGTATCGCTGATCCTGGGCACATAGAGAGCATGTGCACTCATGGTGAATACAAAGAACTCCAGTTACTATAAGGTAAGTAAACTTCCTTTTTCACTGGAACAAAATGAACTAAAATAGATAATAGAAACATTTCTATTAGTCTTAGGTAATGTAAAAGCTTGTTTTATAAAGCATAGATTTGGGACCAAATTTGACCTGACAGTGTCTCTTTAAATTAATTTTGCCAATAAATTACTTGTTTATATTTTTACAGCATTTTAGATGTCATGGGTTAATGGACCTGTATTATTATAACTTCAATGTAATAGTACAGTTAATGGAATGCGTAATGACTGGGTATAGAGTTGCAAAAATCATGCCTTTGGGATTCTGTGAAGCATGATGGACAGCAAAGTGCTTTTAACATCCCAGAGGTGTAATTGGCTTAGAGAAACGACATGTCCTTGAGGTTAATATTGCTAGTCTCCCTTCATTTCCTTATATAAATAAGTCGGATGGCTATATTAAATTGATAACTGAAAACTGCCAACATACCATACATTATAACATACTTAACGTCAATTAGTGATTCTTCTCTTTAGAATGCTGAGCCAGTAATTCTGATTAATCTATTTCATGACAAACTTGAAGGGAATACATTCAAAATCATGCATTTATCTCTGCTACAATAATTAACATAATGATCCTTTTAAAATAATTTCAGAAATCTCAGTCTCCTTGAAAACACCTCAGGACCTGCAACATCATTATTCTGGTAAGCAGGAGGTACTCGAATGACAGCTGAGCAACTGCACCCATTGTTAAGCTGTAGAAATTCTGGTAATATTTTTGATTCTTATGCATGCCTCAGTTTCCCTCCATGCTTTGTACTAATATGAATTGAATATAAATGAAAGGGACAAGGTGTTGGACTCATGTAGCTATCTGATTGGAGATCAGAGTCACTAACAAACTGAATACAGCCTATGCATTGAATGGAGGATCCAGAAGAGACGATGGCAATCCTAACGTCTGGGATATTCTACACGTAGGGTATGTCTACACTGCAATGTAAGCCCAGGTTTCGCACTCAGGCTCAAGCCTAACCCCCTTCCATTTATCTACACATAAACTGTGCTAACCAAGGGATCGGACCCAGAGTCCCAGGATCCCATGTGAGTGGAGGGTCCAAGCCTGTGCCAAGATGGGACCCAGGGTTCAAGCCCTATTGCTTTGCAGTGTAGATGCAGCCCCACAGGACTCATGCTCTGGGCATCCACTAAAAGCATTCCACAATCCCACAATTGGACTTTTTGTTCTGTGGACAGTCAGGTTTGGTGGACAGTCAAGTTTTCCCACACTGCACAATGAACAAAGGGCTAGAGCAGCCACATTTTGGGAGGGTGATAGGAACTGTAGGATATGAGTGGTTGGACTCAAGTCCACATAATGCAGTGTAGATGCTCGAACCCAGGGTTCAGCAATTCCTATCCTGAGGTTACAAATGCGTGTAGACACTAACGTCCTAGGTTAACAAATCCAGAGTCTGCTAACTCAAGTTCTACTAACTCTGGGTTTACATTGCAGTGTAGACATGCCCTTAGGCACCAGTAGCCAACAGCAGAGCAAAGGCCCTGGAGAACAGGGGAAAGGTGTCAAGTAGCTGTGTTAACCGATGAGCTCATAGGGTATGGCTAGTCAGCAACTAGATACCTGTGGCTGGCCCATGACAGCCGACTTGGGCTTGGGCTGCAGGGTTGTTTCATTGCTGTGTAACTTCATTCCGGGTTCAGGCTGGAGCCCGAGCTCTGGGACCCTCTCACCTCTCAGGCTCCTACAGCCTGGGCACCAGCCTGAGCCCAGAAGTCTACACAGCAATGAGACAGCCCTGCAGCCCAAGCACTGCGAACCTGAGTCGGCTGGCACAGGCCAGCCCTGGGTGTCAAGTTGCTGTGTAGACATACGCCTAGAGACACAGGCTTCTCACCTGGGTTGAAGACAAAGGAACAGAGACAGAGAAAGGAAGGAGAAATGGTTCCTACAGCAGCATGGCTCAAGGGCTCACTGGATTTAGACTGTTTAGACTATGTCTTAACCTTTTCTTTCCTATAGACCTAAGGGCTTTCAGAGTCTATATGTCAGGTGACTAATAAATTGTTACCTTGCTTTGAAAAGGCTGCCTGGTGTCACAGCAAATACTTACTCAGAACATTGTGTCCCGAAAGGGTAAAGAGCCACAGAGAGAGAGAGAGACAAGAATTGCTAGCATGCAAAGGCCCAGTTTTGGAGTCATGGAGGCCAAGGGCCTGCCCATATGGAACTGTGTGGATCCTTTGGCACACCAGACCCTGTGAATCCATAACACAAGCACATTAATTCTTTTTCTGTCATCTTCTGTGGCTCCCACTTTGTAGAGTCCCACTGGAGTACCCCCCAACAACCCAGTCAAAGCTGTATATTAATTTCATACCTAACACTGTAGTGAGGCCATTTCAGGTATTTGGTGGCAAATGATAAAGAAAAAAAATAGGCCTTGGCAATAAAAAACTTAGTTTCACAACTGATGAAAACTTAAGGAACTGAGCTATAATGCCCAGAAAAAACAGGGGCAATGGTTTGTTCATAGCTGTCACCTCCCATCTTGATGAAGTACAGTATTCACTGCAATTTCCCTCTTTCTTCCTGCTTGCTGGAGTGGATTTCTTCAGTTAATTTGTACTGTACTACTTAATCTGTGTTTATATACTTATGAACTTACTTGAAGTCTGGCAGGGAATAAATCATTTGGACACTGATTGCCCACTATGCTGTTTTATTCCTAAATTGAAAATGCGCAGAGATTGCTACAAAGCTGCAGGTTTCTGTGCTTTCGGGTGAGGAGAATTGTCCAGAAGCTACCAGCAGATGTCCCTGTAGACCACACTACCTTAGACCTTTTCATGAGAAACCTTGGATAAAACATAAGCCAGTATACAGCTATCTGAAGTTCAGAGATTGTGCCATAGTTACAATGAATAGTATCCAATTTTTTCATTCCGTGGACAGGCACAACTCCACTGACTTTGATAATATTATGCCAGCGACAAATTTGACTCAGCATATATTTGGGCATGTTATTTAATTAGGTGATATTTTTCAACGCAATCTAGACTCTGACAAAAATAAGATGTTTTCGGAGGCTTCTGGGTTAATTTTTTTCATTTGTAATGCAAGGATGGACTTGTGTCTGTGGCAATGGATGGGACTCAAGGAATCTGGGTTCAGTTCTGGATTTTACCACAGAGTTCCTGTGTGACTTTGGGCAAATCACTTAATCTCTGTGCCTCAGTTCACACCTCTGTAAACTCGGGCTAACAGTACTTCTCTGCTTCTTAGATACTGTGAGGATAAATCCATAATCACTTGGTTGATGCTCAGATGTTATAGTGCTAGAGGCGATATACATAGCTAGAGGAAAGGCCGGCCACAACAAAATGTACTTGTTTTTGTAATATTACAATAAAACACTGTCAAATATTTCTGAAAATCAGCCAAGCCAACATAGCGGAACTGTCTATTTTGTTTGCAGCTGTTGAAAGGAACAACTTAATGAGGCTTGCTCAGACTATACCATTTACACCGGTCCAGTTCTTTGGTGAGTGCCAGTTTCTCTGTTCTGTTTTGAATGTATTATAATCACAGCATGGATTATTTTGTAAAGAATACAGTTAAGAAACCTCATAGGTTGGATTAATTTAGGTATATATAATTTACATTTATTTTCTGAAGGAACAACTTCTGTGACCACCAATCTGGACCAAAGGGAATGACTCTATAGCCTGTTGGTTAAGGCATCCACCTGGGAGACCCAGGGTCTAGTTCCCCTAGTCCAATGAGTCCTTAATTATTTATCCGCAACTTCAACATGAGAGATTGAGGGAGCCATACACATCAGAATATCCCATAGCTCAGTGGCTAAAGTATTCTCCTGAGAGTGGGGAGACCTCTGTTCATATCTTTCCTCCCCATGAGGCAGAGGGAGAAATTAAACCTGGGTTTCCCTAGTGAGTGCTCTAACCACTGGGATAGACAGATAGATAGATACCTCCCTACAGCCGTACTTATGTGCCAAATTCCCTAAGAGGAGCGGGTCTTAGGATGCATCCCTGTTGTTGGCATCTCCCATTTGTTAGCTTAGGTGGCTCCCCACCTAGCGTGCTGGTTTTTGTGGATTTCATTCTTTGGCCACTGACTCTCCCCATTTATTGTGTAGGGAGCCCAGGTGCCTAACTCAGGCTTTGTGGTTCGCAGTGTTGTTCCAGTGATTTTTCTAGGTGCCTAAAAGTTAGGCATTGCAATGCTGAGTGTTGCAAAAGTTCCTTTGTGGATCCAGGTCCTTCTTCCAGGCCACTTCGTGAGACAAGACTCTCCTGTGCCGGGTGCTCCGAGACTGAAACCTACTGTGCTAGCTCATGTCTCTCCTACAAGTCTCCCCTTTCCTCTTGGCTTCTCTTCACCCATGATTTGTGTGGCTTTTTTTATATGGTTTTTAAATCCACCCTCCACTTGCGGAGTTCCTTTGTGTGGAGAGAATTCCAAACAATAAAACTGATAGATACATAACTTGAAGGATTTTTATTCTTTTATCCATTTTATTAGCAGTTCCTATTTTATTAAGGAAATAGTGCAGTATTCTACAGTAATCACCCTCCAAACACTGCCACATCTTGATAAAACTTAGGGCCTGATTCTCCACGCTCTTAAATTGGTTCAACTTTAACAGAGCTGATATAAGATCTGTGTAATGGAGTGGAGAATCAGACCTCTCGTGTCTGGGACCATTACTACAGAATATGTCCATTGGATGTTGTATAAAATGCTTAAACATTTACAAGTACCATTTCTATGTCTTAATTATTCTATCAATAATTCTGGTCAGTATTCTATTCAGTTGAACATTTGTACACAGTGGGCCTGATTTTCAGCCTGGCTCATACCTGACCTCCTTTGTGGCACCTGTAATTATTTGTGTATCCAGGCAATGTTAGATATGAAGTACCTGAAGGTGCTCACGGATCAGGTGCTTGTATGTCTATATTACATCAACTGACTTTGCAAATAATCTCAGTCACAAAAAGGGAGGGCAGGCTTTAAAACTCTGGCCTGTTATATTAGTTTATCGAAGATAATAATGAATAGTTTTCCCCTGTCAGAGGCAGAATACTGTTTAACTACATAGTGAGACAGAGTGTAAGATTGAGCTGAATCTCATCAGATGCCTTCTGCATGCAAAATGATAGAATTTCTGAAATTTTGTGCAATAGAGATCACACAGGAATTTCCAGGAACAAGGTCAAATTCTTAATTTAAAATAGTAAACTTAAATCTCCATGCTTATTTGTCTTAATTTCTTCTCATTACCCTTAGTTTATATTAAAACAGAACCCTAAATATTATAGGAAAGCTGATGTTCTTTCTAGATTCGGAGGACTCACTTGTTCCCAGCTGTGTGTGTTAGTTTGGGCCAGACTCTGCTTCTCTTGCTCATGTTGATTAGTGTCTGATTTCTCAAATAACCCAGTTGAAATCTATGGGGCTGTCATGGATCAAAGTGCTACTCAGTGTGAGTAAGGGCGGCAAAATCCAGCCATTAGCTTTTACAATTGTCATGAAGATAAAGGTGTTACTTCTTACAAGCAAGCAAGACCAAAAGGGAAAAACGGTATGAGTAGTATCGATTTTAATTGTTTTCTGTAAGATAAAAAAATCTTGCTAAATAATCTTCTTTTGTACAAATACAGACTGAGAGAGAGAGAGAGTCTCAGCATATTTTTATTTAATTTCAGTTCAACCAATTATAGATAAGAGATTGGTGTTTAAAAGCAAATATTTAGACCCAATCATCCCTAAAATCCAGTAAGTCTGCTGACACTGAGAAAAGCCACTGAAAAGAAGAAAATGACCACAATTGTATTCAGTAAGATCCACTGGTTTAAATCAACGCAGTTTGCTTGTATTGAAGCACTCCTGAAGGCTGGAATTCATCCCTATGAAGAAGGCCAGTATAAACTCTATGTACCATATATATCCTCAAAATAGAGAGACAATGTAATTTAAGGGGTCCATAGTTGTTGTGCTGGCCCTCTGAACAGGGTTGAACATCACCTTAGTGAACAATAGAAGATTTGGATGATATTTCAGGAATATGGTAGCATAGTGGAAGCCCATATTGTTAAGTACTGTAAAGTGAGAAAGTTATATGCTATTTTAGGGGAAGAAAGGTAAGTCTCAAATGGTGTTGCTGTGATTTGTGATATTTATAAATAAAACTTCTTTTGACCTCAGCTGGAGAGGAGGTGACAATCTATAGGTTAGAAGAGAGTTCGCCTATGAACCTAGATAAAAGCATGTCGTCCTGGTCACAGCGTGGGATGGCTGCAATGATCCAGGTCTTGTCCCAAGAGGAGATGGATGGAGGTCTCCGGAGAGCCATGAAGGTCATTTGTACCTGGTCTGAGAATGATGTATTGAAGTTGGGACAAGTCTTCATTGTGAAGTCGTTTCTTCCTGAAGTGGTTCAGACATGGCAGACGATCTTTCAGGAGGGTACAGTGCTACATCTCTGCCTGAGGGTAAGTATAAACCTGCAGGGAAACTGTCCAGCCCAGTTTGGCAGGTATGAAATGGTTTGGTACATGTAAACATTTCCAGCCTGGAGTGACTTGCTGTTTAATTATTGTTACTATCTTATTGGAGAGAGGGGTGTGGAAAAATCCATCTCCTATTTACGATTAGTAAGGAACACTCCCTTTATATATTCTGGCCTTTCTTTATAGGCTTATATAAAAGTAATATCTATAAATGTGTTTTTGTTTAGGAAATACAACAACAAAGGGCTGCTCAGAAGCTGATATATACCTTCAACCAACTGAAGCCACATAGCATTCCATATACCCCAAGGTAGGGAAACTGCCTTTCAAGAGTGAGGTGGAAAAGACTAAATACAACCTTCTGCAATATTTGGGTGCTGGGGGCAGGGGTTTTTCAGCGAGACCTCTCAAGTAGGGAACTTATTACCCTTCTCTGTGATCTGACGAAGCCCAGCTTTGTTGACTGTCTTTCAAGGCCTATTTTTTCTGTGTAGTTTTTATGGAGGGGGTAGGTTGATAACATCTGACTGGGTGGGTGAGGGAATTTTGGGGAAATATAAAGGATTTGGTGGAGTGCATTAACTGGGGCAGATCAGGGAGGCTTTTTTAATAGATGTCTATCAAAAAGAAATTGTGTCCATGCTTTTAATATTTGTAAAGTGTATAGAGCTTATGCCTGGCATTAATTAAACTGAAATAAATAAATAAAATAAATATACATGAATTAGAGACATTGCAGAATTTTTCTAAGTGTGTCTGTTGCTTGATGGTGTTGAAGAAGTTTGTGAAAGAAAGGTCTGAAGCAAAGTCCATTGAAAAATAATTGGAAAGACCGTCATTGACTTCAGTGGCCTTTGGAAAATCCCTTACTGAGCAAAAAGGAAAGCAAAGTGTTAGTGAGAGAACAGCTGGTCTCCAGTTCTGCTGAGCATGCTGCTCTGAGATGTAGCTGCTTTAGTGGGGGGGGAAAAATCCTTTCAGGGTTGTGAACTAGTTTCCAGTGGTCTGAAGAGAGAGTGCATGTAAAGAATCGCTTATATTTTGAACATCCCCATAGATCTGTATTCAGATGGTAAAGCAGATCAATGTTTGCTACTGAGTCCTTACAGTAAAGTTTTACTGTTTCTTTTACAAGGAACTTTACAGAGTATGACAGGAAACATAAGGCCTTCTGCTAATCAAAGTTTTATCAAAGTGAAAATGGCTTTCCACTTCAGAAAAGCAAAACCTTATGTTTAGGAGGGATAAGCAGGTCTGGATTGGAAAGTATGAGGGCCCAGATGTTTGAAGACCCTTAGGGCATATATTTTGTTATGTGCACCAATATTTTTCCTTCTGTTTTGGACACAGCCCTGTTTTTTCTATACCATCTCTAGAAATGCCACTATTAAAACTTGTGCTTCTGTGGGAATGATGACCTCATGTGTATTACAATCTATGAATATATGTAAGGCCTGATCTAGAGCCTATTGAAGTCAGTGGGAGTCTTTCTATTTAATTCAGTGGGCATGGATATGATCTCTTTGTATTACATCATTAGTACATCAGGGGTGAATATGCACCATCAGATGTGGAAACCATGAGCATTTGATCTTGTCCCAAAAACATTCCCATTACCCAGTACCCGGAAATACTCTTGCTTGTTCAGTAGCAGCCACACTTCTACACAAGCCAGTTCTGTCTCACTGTATGCTGTTTTTTAGTTACTTAGCTTTATGAGCATATTTTTTCCCTTTAGGAAATGTAGAACTGTGGTTCAGTATTTGGGGTCGGGAAGGAATTTTCAAATTTGCAGAGATCCTGGAGGGTTTTTTGCCTTCCTCTGTAGAGTGGGACATAGGTCACTTGCTCATTTGAACTATGATAAATGGTGGATTCTCTGTAACTTGACGTCTGTAAGTCTAGATTTGAGGACATCAGTAACTCAGCCAGAGGTTATGGGCCGACTACAGGAGTGGGTGGGTGAGGTTCTGTGTCCTGTGATATGCAGGAGGTCAGACTAGATTAGTGGCTCTTTAATCTTTCCACACTACTGTACCCCTTTCAGGAGTCTGATTTGTCTTGCGTACCCCCAAGTTTCACCTCACTTTAAAAATACTTGCTTACAAAATCAGACATAAAAATACAAAAAGTGTCACAGCACACTATTACTGAAAAACTGCTTACTTTCTCATTTTTACCATATAATTATAAAATAAATCAATTGGAATATAAATATTATACTTACACTTCAGTATATACTATATAGAGCAGTATAAACAAGTCATTGTCTGTATGAAATTTTAGTTTGTACTGACTTTGCTAGTGCTTTTTATGTAGCCTGTTGTAAAACTAGCCAAATATCTAGATGAGTTGATGTACCCCCTGGAAAAATTGTGCATACCCCCAGGGATACGTGTACCCCAAATTCAGAACCACTGGACTAGATGTTCATGATGGTCCCTTCTGGCCTTAAAGTCTATGAATATTCTCCCTGTTCACCCCATTACTTAGATGCTGTGGCATCTGTGAGCATTACTGCTCACTGGATATCTTTAGACTGGCTTATTTTGAGGAAAGTTTTTGAGTTTGAGAGGAACCCAGCCCCTCAAAAAGACAACCCCCCCCAAAACTGCAAAAACAAAACAGTTTTTTCCCCCCCTCACAATAATAAACTGCATACATAAATTTACTGCTTCCTTTCTGCAGAAGAAAGGAAGATTTGAGCCATCTTAACTGAGAGAACCTAGATACTAAATATCCTCTCACATTAGTTTTACACAGGGATAAACCCCAATTCCACTGACTTTAGTGGAGTTTCTCTTGATTTACACTGAGTAGATTATCAGGTGTAACATAGTGCATCCTATGAGCCCAAGTGTGCCTTATAAAAATGAGGATTTTTTTTTTGTTATTTTGGAGAATATCATCAGGCAGGGGAAGGAGTGCAACTTTGCACCTCTTTTACAAAATGGTGTGTGATGGTAAATTAACTTTCCAAAGGGGTCCTGACTTAGCATTTTATAGCACTTGTTGTTCAAGGGCATTTCTTTAATTAATCTTAAAGATTTCAGTCCATCTATTTAAACTATGCTTGCACTACGAGGTAGGGGAGTGATTCCCCTGCTTGAGAACACATACTTGTGTTCGCTCTCCACGAACAAGAGCAAGTGTAAATAGGAGTGTTGCTGTGATAGCATGCGTAGCGGCAATGGAGGCATGGCTTAACTGTGCCAAGTACAAACCTGCCTGAAACTTGGCCTGTGCCTCCACTGCTGCTACCCGTGCTAATGCAGCTACACTGCTATTTATACTTGTGCTAGATCAATGAGAGCTAGTGCAAGTACACCTTACTCCGATATAATGCGACCCGATAGAACATGAATTCGGATATAACGCGGTAAGGCAGCGCTCCGGAGGGGCGGGGCTGCGTGCTCCAGCGGATCAAAGCAAGTTCGCTATAACACGGTTTCACCTATAACGCGGTAAAAAATTTTGGCTCCCGAGGACAGCGTTACATCGGGGTAGAGGTGTATGTGAATAGGGGAATAACGCCCTTAGCTCGTAGCCTAGACGTTGCTGTAGAGATTAGCTAGTGTAACAATGGCATTTCCTGGTTTACTCAGCATACGCTTCTTGTTCACTGACACTCCTGTCCACAGAAGGGCTTTGTTTTGAGATCATTCTCTGAAATGTCTTCTCCAGTAGGTTACATCTCTCAGGAATGACTCCCTGCTATCTACCATTTGTTATCTTCTGCGGCTGAAAGTTTTCTAAGAGGCTTGAAGTTTGTAAGTGGTGGAGTAGTGTCCCACTTTTCAGTATATTTGCTTTGTTCCGTAATAATTGTGACCTGACTGTGAGGACACTCATCATCCTGCCAGCTCCTGACTGACAGCATTTTTACCCACAGGTTTCTGGAGGTTTTTTTAATATATTGCCATTCAGCCAATCAGTGGCTCACCATAGAGAAGTACATGACGGGTGAGTTCTGCAAGTACAACAACAACAACGGGGATGAGATTTCCCCCAGCAATTTGCTGGAAGAGATGATGTTGGCCTTCTCTCACTGGACCTACGAGTACACCCGAGGGGAGCTCCTTGTCCTGGATTTGCAAGGTGACTGCCAAAATGCAACAGTTTATTATATAACTTAGAGATGCCACTAAGAAAACAACATTGAATTCAACTTAGAGAAAAAGAGACAAATTCTGCTCCTGTTTACACCCATGAAAATCCTGAGCAATTCCAAAGACATCCATGGAGTTACTCTGAATTTATATAGGTGTAAATGAGAACAGTATCTGGCCCTATATATCTAGTTTAGGTGTACAAGCACCGTGTACTAAAACAGTGCACAGTAACATTTCAATTAGCTGTATAAAAACCACTTCACATGTTAATGTTGATGAAGATTGTTAAATATTTGTAACAAAAACACATTTTTCTCATCGGAAGGCTGAAAACTGGCATCAGTTGTTTATATTTTTCATTAATAAAACTGTAAACAGTTTAAGCTGCAGTTCTGAGAACTATTCACAGAGCCAGGTGGCCCCTCAAAAGAGCACAGAGTGTGGTATGATCACTTTACAATACATGTGTAAAGGGGAACATGGTATATTTAAAAAAATAAACATTTGACTGTGTACAGAAAATGAACACCATCCATCAAGCAGTTTAAACATCATTGGCTCTCATTCCTGTCAAGGGCAATTTGTGCTGCTAGACATAGGCTTATCATATTTACATTTTACAGCATTCAGAAACTGTGAATTACAGTAAGACTTCCTGGTCAAGTGAAATCAACCGTTAAATCCATGCTGGCCTTCATCGGATTTTATCTTCACATTAAGAAATATAAAAAGACTTTGTGTATCTTTGTTACAACATATTGGAACTGAGCCACACTTCCTCCCTTATTTTTAAAACTTGGTTTAGTATAGTACTCCTGAAATTGACAGACCAGTACCACTGGCTTGAGCCTGGAAAAGGGAAGTATGTGCGTAAATCTTTGCAGAACTGAGGCCCTCATTTCCATCCCAACCCAGGAAAGAGAAGTGTGAAAAAAATGGAGTAAAATTATTTACAAAATTCTTTTAAACCTCAGAAAAGGTCTGACTCAGGCATGGGTCAGCGTTCGGGTTGTCCATACTGATTGGCTGTCCCAAAACTGGAGCTCTGTAATCACAGCACAAAATCTGTTCCAGTTGGAATTCCAGGTGGACAAGTCTGTCTATTGGAGACCTGCAACTAAAGGGGTGTGTGTGTGTGTGTGTGTGTGTGTCTCAAAATCTCTCTCTCACACACCTAATATCTATAACTATATTTATTATACTTTTATTTAAATATATTCTGTATTAACAAAGACCCATTGTCATTGGAACGTGTTACAAATTTTCAGGTGTTTTAACATACGGTGAGCACAATAGTTATAGCTGTTCTTTACCTATCTACCTGTATCCATTGCAGCACATGAGTTCATCACTAATGGACCATGGGAATTAAAATAATTGGATGCTAATGTTCATGGAAGTTTTCCTGTACATCAGCAGCCCAATCATTTACTCAGATATAAGGCAATGACTTTTTAAAGTAGAATCCCATAAGCCCTAATGGGGCATTGGTTAGAGGAGAGGAGTTTAGCACAAAGGAATCTGTTCTTCCATTCATTTACCACAAAACGCCTATTAGCACTTATTGGAGTTACCTATCTAACTCTACTGTAACCACCACCAAAGGGGAGAATAGACCCCAGCATCCTCACATCACAACATCTAAATAAAGGGACATATTCTGATACCCTTGCTCACCTTGAATAGCACTTTTCCCCTGAGTGGTCCTAATAAAATCAACAGGATTTTAATAATGAAATAAGGTGCTATTCAACATGAGTACAGGCCTCAGGATCTTGCCTCATTTTACTGTAGTTACAACAGTTTTGGCAACTCTTTCCACGGTTTCATAGTATAGAGCCATTTGGGTAAGTTTCTAGCCTATCCATTCATAAATCCACGAGCATGTAATATCAGAAATGGGGTGAGAACAATTAGCATTTGTTTGTCTATTTTTAACAAATAGTACAGCATTTTATTTTTAACTTAAGTGTAAATTTAGAGTCTACAGAGGAAATTGATATTTACATTGGTTATGATTTTATAACATGATATTTAAAAAAAACAATCTTTGCTTGTAACACTCTCTTCTAATTTACTGTAGGTGTTGGGGAAAACCTGACAGATCCATCTGTTATTAAACCTGAAGGCAAGCAGTAAGTTTGTCATTTTATTAGCTGTCATTTCAGAACATGGTGTGTTTGATGTAATTCACTTCAGACAATTGATAGCTAATGGTATATTTTATGTGGATATTTACATTCTCAATGAGCGTTTTTGATTTTTTTTTTTTTTTTTTAGTCAGGAGTTAAATACTTGATTTGAATGTAGTAGTGCTGTTTTTTTCCAGATGGTGTAGTTCCAAATTAATAATTATACGTGATATAGGAGAATGGGGAGGGGTCTAGGCACACAAGATTTCTGGCTTCACAACAGGATTGATAATAGTGCTTTTTATATAAACAACACTTCATATACAATGGCTCTGATCCATGTGGGGAGACAAAATGGTTTTGTTTCTGGCCTGGGGTGTACAGGAGGTCATACTAGATGATCTAATGGCCCCTTCTGACCTTAAATTATGACACTTGGGGCTTGTCTACATGAACGCTGAGTTCACAGCAAGCTGGGGTGTGAATATACTGCATACTAACTGTTCATGTGGACCCTGATAATGTGCACCAAAAGTTTGTTAGTGCACTTTAATCTACTCCTGTTTCAAAGCGGAGAAGATCAGGGCATACTACTATTATATTGTTAGGTCCCACGGAATCAGTTAGTGCAAGTCAGGGGTATATTCACACCCCAGCTTCGTGTGAACTAAATGTTTGTGTGAACAAGCCCTTAATCCTGCACGGAGGTCCCAGGTCAGTGGGGCTCCACACACACAGACGACTCTTACTGTATGGATCAGAGTGTCGGATCAAGTCTTGTCTCCAGTTAGATGTCACAGCACCCTAAGTACTAGGTACATATCATTAACCCAATTTCACAAAAGGGGAAACAAGTTCAGAAATATTAAATGACTTGCCCAGGACACAGAACAAGTCAATTCCAGAATTGGGAGTAAAAACTTGATCTCCTGTCTCCAAAATGACTATTATTACTAATATTATTTGTATTATCAAGAACATTAGTAATTAATAAACATTTGCACAATATTAATAAGTAATTACTATCACATGTTGATTATAGATACTATAGATGTATTATTGCAAATATGTGCTAGATGTTTCACAACAAATATAAGACAATCTACTTTTGACCCCTCATACTGGCCTTACTTGGGGCCACAGGACCCATACGCACAGTACCCAGAGTCCGTATGAGTCAATAGGGAGTCTTGCCATCCCTCCCCTCCCAGAGGTCAAAGGGAAACTCCTGAGCCTATGGAAGAAGAGGACGATGAAGTGGTTGCTCCAGTCTCGCTGTCTCTTCCTGATGACCACAGACAATTCCAAGAGCTGGTTCAGAGTGTGGCAGAAGAGCTGTAAATGCTCTTAGAGAAAGCCCAGGACTTGCAACACAACTCCCGTTTGGTCTAGCAACTACACCCAGCATCTTTACAAAATTATTTTCTGTAGTAGCCACACAATTTAGACTGGGTGGTTCTACCATCTTCCAGTGTCTAGATGATTGGTTTCTTACAGACAGGACATATTCAGAAGTCATAACATCAGCCTCATCGCTGCTCCATCTCCTAGAATCCCTGGGAATCTCTGTGAACATGCAAAAGTCTATCCTGGCTCTGGCTCAGACTAGAGATTTCATAGGAGTGACCTTAGATTCAAAACGAGGGCTCAGCTCCCGATGGACAGATTCCAAGTCATGGGCAACCCAATAAATCAGGTTATGCACAATCACAATCCTCTGACATTGGTCTGGATTTACCTTACTCTCCTAGGTCACATGCCATCATCTACTTACGTACTGCTGTTCATCCACCTCCATGCCTGTACGCTTGGCTTCAAACAGTATGTATACTGAACAAACACAGCATGAACACTGTAGTGATAATCCCCAATAAGATAAGGGCCTCTCTGATTTGGTGGAAAGATTCTGCACACGTATGCATGGACATTCCTTTCCTATCCTCCACACCCAACAGGACAATAATCACAGCTGCCTGCTTGTTAGGTTGGGGGATGCACATGGACAGTCACATAGCACAGGGCACTTGGATGGCCTAGGAACCAGAATGCACATAAATCTCGTGGAATGCAGAGCAGTCGGAGAAGCATGCAGGGCATTCTTACCATTAATCCAATCTTACGTTCTCTCATAATGTCAGACAATATGACAACCATATTCTACATAAACAAACAGGGAGGAGTAAGTTGCATTCCCTTGTGTATAGAAGTGGTCAATGTATGGAACTGGAAGAATCACAATCACCCTATCAGCAGCGTACCATCCTGGAGCCCAAAATTCACTGGCGGACAGCGTCAGCAGGTACTTTGCCACTGATCATGAATGGGTGTCACACAGCTCTGTGGTAAACAGCATCTTTGCTCAGGGGGAGCCTACCTGGGACCTGCTCCCAGACACATGGGAAGTACAGCACATACTGTTCCAAAGGAGTTCAGGGCCAGTTCTTCAGAGGTGATGCTGTCCTACTTCTTTGGGTAGACCATTTGAACTATGCCTTTCCTCTTATACCGCTACATCCTCAAGTTTTGCGGAAGATTTGACGGTACAGAGCATGAGCCATTCTCATTGTGTTCAAATGGCCTGAACTGTTCTGCTTCCCAGGTCTCCTGCGTATGCCAGCCCAGCCATTCATCCCTTCCAGGTCCTCTTGACTCATGATCACGGGTTGGTATTTGGATGGGTGTTGGATCTAGAACATTCCTATTCAGAAACTGTGCAAGCCATTCTCACTAAAGCAGAAAGGACTCCACCAGAAAACGTTCTCTAGCCAAGTGGAAGCATTTTTCTGTCTGGGCCCAACACCACAGTATGTCTCCTGATAAAATAGGTAGTCCTGATATCTTTGATTACTTCCTTACACTCAAGAAGATGGGTCTTTCCCTTAGCTCGATGAGGGTTTTCCCATAGGTAATCAGCTCATGTCACCCTCCAAAAGATGACTCTCTGTATCTATCCAATCACCTCCAGGTTCTAAAAGTGTTTAATTAGAACTTTCCCACCAACAAGAAAACTAACCCTCAATGGGACCTTAATTTAGTACTTTCAACACTTATCAAGCCACCTTTCAACCCCCTGGCTACCTGTTCAATGCTTCATCTGTCTATGAAGGTTGCTTTCCTCATTGCCATCACCTTGGCCAGGCAGGTAGGTGAACTGGGGTTCCTAATGGCAGATCCTCATTACACACTATTGGATAAAGACAAAGTCTTGCTATGACTACATCCAAAATTTACCCCTACAGTAGTTTTGGAATTTCACATAAACCAGACTATCCACTTACTTCTGTTCTTCCCAAAACCCCACGCTGCCAGCAAAGGAAAAGACTTCATTCCCTTAATGTGAGATGATCATTGGCATTTTACCTATAGAGAAGAAAACAGATCGGAAAGTCACCCCGGCAGTTTGTTGCCATAGTGGAATGAACGCAGTGGTTCTACAAACAACCAGACCTCCTCCATCATCATGCCCTCCTTCTCGCGGAGTACTGCTTGTCAGTCACCCACAGTGGAATACACATAGGGATGAGCACTCAAAGAAGAAAGGGAAGTTACGTACCCTTCGTAACCAGAGTTCTTCGAGATGTGTGGTCCCTATCTGTATTCCACTATGTGCCCTCCTTCCTCTCTGCTAAGGATCATCTCTGATTTGTGGTAAGAGGAGGAACTGGTGAGGAGTTGATCCACTTTTCCCTTACACAATCAGCACAGAGCATCAGCAAGGGCATGGACCAATGGATACTACAGTCTCAGGCACATGGAATGCATGTGTACCCACAGTGGAATACAGATAGGAACCACACATCTTGAAGAACTTCAGTTATGAAGGGTTAAGTACCTTCCATCATTTCTGGGCACTTAAAGCATTACACCCAGATTAATAAAAATGAGTTATATAGTTTGCATTTAAAGGTTAAATCAAATCCTTTTCGTTTGCTCTGTCATCTCCAAAAATAGCCAGGTATTCGATTTGCTAGCTAAAGATGAGTTATAGCAGACACTGATTAATGAAGCAAAAAACCCAGCTTGCGCTTCATGTGTTAGGGAAAATCTTAAGAACTGCAAGAAGCAAAACAGTGTTGTTTTGACTTAGTGATCTGAGAGAATATAACAATGAAGCTACAGATGGAGCCTGTATGCAGCTAGCAATATACTTGTGTAAAGTGATCATTCCAGAGATATACTTCCTAAAAAAAAAAATCTTTAAAATGCACTCTTAACTTTCTCCTTCACTCACTCACCAGGGAAAAATTCCAGCAGTATCGGGGTCTGTTTTATGTTTTCATTTATCAATGACTTATTTCTCCAAAAATTGAATACTGCTTGAAAAGTTGCTAGCAAGACTCAAAGGCATGTCTTTGAGCTCACATTCTCTTAGATACCAGAAGAGAGTGGGTGACATCTGTCTGATGGGGCTGATGCATATTTTATTACTACTAATAATCATTATAATTATTATTAATGTGTTGTTTCTTTAGTTCCATTGATTCTGGGGTTCATTTTTAAAGTAATTTGTGTGGGAGATTTATGCCATTATCGCATAATGGGTCTTTTCTCTCATGCATTCTACCATTACCTTTAAAATGGAGTTTTTAATGTCAAGACCCACCCCCCTATGATGGTCTGATGCTATTTCTCACAACAGTTCTGTAGTTTTCTATACACTAGTTCAGTGATTACAATTACAGAAGTATTTAGAAAGGGTGGCCAATGCTAAACCCAGGACCAGATCTTTAGCTGCTGTAAATCAGCATAGCTTCATTGACTTCAACAGAGCTAAACTGATCAAAGTCAGCCAAGGATGTGACCCAGGTGTGCGGTACATGAGGTGTGCAGTGTGAAAATTGATACAGTTTGGATTCTAGCCCCAAATATAAATAGCTGAAACTTTATTGCCAGGAAAATACAGGGCCAGTGTCCAGACACAGTTTCAGTCCCTGCAATCTCATGTGTTTTCCTGTACACCAGAGCTCTGGGAGGCATTTTCTGATGAATAGTGCCTCCTGGTGCTCCTGACAGGATGTAACAATTGTCACTACCAACAGCACAAGGCTATGCCTGTAAGGCATGAGCAAGCACTGTAATTGCATCATGACAGCGATGCAGATTCAGAGGTGCTGTAAATAGGGGTTTATGTTTCGAGTTAGTAAATAAGGATGAGCCGCATTAGCCTGGCATAACTTACATACTGAGAGAGCTGACGAACAGGATTGTAGCAAGAAAAATATGCCACAGGAGGGTATCAAAAGATATAAGACAAAGAAGATGGCTGTGGTTAGAGGCAGTAGGAGTTAGAAGAACTCCCACTATCTCCATGCAGATGCCCAGGTAGGTGGTTGGGGCACCAGCAAGCAGAGGTGTCTGAAGGGCCATCAGCATGTGTCTGAAGGGCCAAAATAAAACTTTTGTAGTGCATTTGTACAGAACTGGGCTTCCCAATGATGTGCTGGACAGGCCATCTACATGGATTGAATACAGGACCTCCAGTTCCAGAAGCATGAGCCGGTATAGCTTGAGCTGACAGACGAGGTCCATTAGTTCAGAGGCAGCTGAGACTCCTCAACTTTTTTGTGGTCTAGGCACTGGGGGCGGGGGGGAGGGGGATGGGACAGGACGGGCAGATTCACATTGCATTAGCACAGGCATGCTGCTTTACTTACAAGAGTGCCTTGTTGGCACTTTACCAGATTGGACCAAAAGCCAGAAATGACTACCACGTACCATGTTATTTAATACTATGCAGCTTCTGCTCTACTTCTCTGACACTAAGGAGCCATAGAGGACACTAGAACGAGTCCTAGTTGTGTTATTTCCTTGAATGAGCCAGGGAACAGTCACTGCTTGTCAGCCAGACATTAAGTTATCAGGCCTTCCATTCTAGGTTTGGCGTATCTTCATTGTAGCCACTGTACTTCTCTCCAGCGGAAATGGAGATTCGTTATATATATATATAATGAATATCTATATATATATGAAAAGTCAATTTTTGTCCATGCCTTTTTTGAAAGCTGCTCTCCTTGGAGGTGATTGATGTGTTTTTGCATGGAGAGTAGAGATTTGTGAGAGTCAGATTCTTTTTTTCAGGCCTGCTTTTCTCAGCTATAATTGATTTCAGATTTTAAAATGTGTTGTTTCCACTCTGCATGTCATTAAAATAAAATATTAGCTTTCATAAAGTTTCTTTGGAAGTGTTCCTTGTGTGCTCTGTTCCGTGATGTCTAGAATGTCAATTAAATCCTCGAGAATAATGGTGGAGAAATATTAAAATTAATGAACACTGATCTTTCAGACTACATTAAGAATCTGTTATAATTATGCAGTTCTTCTAATACATGTCTGGTTTATCTTACTTCTATTTGTTATTTTGTCAGCTTCATCCAGAATATGCTGTATGCTTCCACAGATGAATTTAGTTACATTGCTGAATTGCCCAGAAAGTGTAGGAATACAGAAATGAGTACAGTTGGAAGCAGATAATTGAAGAGCCTTGTTTACTAGCAATGTACTGTATTCTTAACAGTCCTATACTTCTAACAGGTGTTGGCGTAAATAGAGCTCTGCTTGTTTTAGGAAACCTCTTTCTGTTTGCAAACGCTGGAACTGTATTTGTTTAAATGATCTGTTCCTAAATCCGGTCAAAGTTGCATTGAATTTGACCTCTTTGGTAGCTCCGGTTTATACCCTAATGTCTCCCACAATCCCGTTCATTCTGTAGGCCTGGAGAATACTTGGTGCAGCACAACCATGCTGGTTCTGTTGTGGGGTAGGTGGAGGAAGGTCCACACCAGGAGCCCATGCCCTCCGAGCAGCATAGAGCACAATTCTGTCAAAGTGTGTTAGTGGGGACTGAGTACATCCACCAGGGATTCCCCCAGTGGAGACGGAGCACAGTGGCCAATAGTATTGCTGGACCTCTGAGGTTACAGAAATAGCCAGGGAGTAACCTGGTACTCCTCCATAGGCTGAGTTGAAGGAGGATAACTTCATTAATCTCCCCAGTTGTGCACTGGAGACAAGGTTTGACCCCATTTATTTAAAAGGGTTTGATTGTACTTTGGTTTGTTACATAGAAAAATTGGTCTCACTGAATAACTTATCCCTGAAACAGCTCCACTACATTCTAAAGAGTAGAATTCCAGGGGGTAATGCATATAGAGCATCCTTTCTTTAACTTTCAGCTCACTGATATTCTGTTATTTCTTCCAGATCTGGAGGGATGGTGTTTGGACCAGCAAACCTAGGGGAACGTGCAATTAAAAACTTCATTGCAAAGCACCGTTGTAACTCCTGCTGCAGGAAGCTGAAACTTCCTGGTATGAACTGCAAGATTGTATATGTTTCTCAGCAAATCCATCTTAAGAACAATCTTCTGTCGAAGCTGGTATGGGTGGCATATTGGGCAATGGGCATACTGTTGTGACTTATTTCCAGTCCACGTCTAACTTTCTAACTGCAAAATAACGAAGGTCCTGAAATGACTAAGGACGGGTATTTACTTAGAGCTCTGGTCAGTTGTGATTAAGTAACACTGACACATTATCTTTTTCCTGAGTAAAGCTGATGATCTGGACCTCCCTTTTCGAGCACAGGTGAAGCTGCGCTGCACTGATTGGCACTCCATTTCCCTTTTCCTTTTGCCTGGCTATCACTTTTAAATTAGAAGCCATCAGTGAGAGGTCTGGAGTTCATGATGTGTAAACCCCTACCATTAAACACACATTCAATTATTTTCTTCTCCATGTAAAATAATAGATTACTTTCCAGTTGGATCAATACAGTTACCACAACAATAATCCTTAGTGTTTAAATAAGGATCTGAGGAACTCCGTAAAAATCAGCAATGCATCAGCCCACAGAGAGATCTCCGTGAGTCTTTCTCTTTTTCTTGCGGATGTTGCCTTCAAACCTGGCTCCATACATCACAGCTTTTGCTTTCCATATATTTGGAGCCACCAATCACATACATTATATTTATTAGAAATGTACTTTTCATTGTGATGCAGATCAGATCCGTTTTACGGGGCTCAGAGTGTCAAAACTAATTGCAGTTCTGGGTGAAAAGTGTTGTAATATGGTGTCGGATGAAAGAGAGAGAATTGCCATCTATGTATTTTTTTTCTAATGAAAAGTACTTTGATTTCAATAGCTGCCTCATTCTGAATCAGGAGTTGTAATATCTTTCAGATTGCTTGCCTCTGTGGCCAATGGATATTGGGATGGGGGAAGAAGGGGCAGGACTTGCAAATGATTAACTAGTAGTGTAGGACAGTGGAGAATACATTTGTGTAAGTTCCCCACCCCCTTCTGCCTCTGCATGGGTCGTCCTCTAGTGCATCCAGGGGCGGCTCCAGGCACCAGCGCAGCAAGCGTGTGCCTGGGGCAGCAAGCCGCGGGGGGCGGCCTGCCGGTTGCTGTGAGGGCGGCAGGCAGACGGCTTTCAGCAGCATGCCTGCGGTGGTAATTCGGCGGCGGGGACGTCGATGGCGGGGCACCGGCGGACCTCCCGCAGGCACGCCGCCAAATCCGTGTGGCCAGCGGACCACCCGCAGGCGCGCCGCCAAAAGCCGCCTGCCTGCCGTGCTTAGGGCGGCAAAAAACATAGCGCCACCCCTGAGTGCATCTCCTCCCACTCTGGTCTGACCTCTCTTAGGAAGAGTCAGGTCAGTGCAGCATCTCCCTCTCCCCCAATACACAATATAGGGTTCACGTGCCCCTTACTCTCACCCTCTGGATCTGGCTCATGCTTAGTCTGTGTATATTCTCCAAACAGTTACTGTCCATGTCACTGAATTTGTTTCCCCCCACAGATATGAGAAGAAATGATTACACCCCTGCAAGGCTCAATCCAGCTGTCAAAGTGGAGACAGAGGCAGGAGCAGAGAGTGCTGTTGCTACTGATGACAAGCCTCTGGAAAATTACACCCGTTTGTGAGCAAGCAGGATGACTTCTGGCCTTTTGAACACTGGAAAACACTCCTTACTTAGTTTTGCCACCTGTCAGTCTGAAAGGACAAAGTCTAGGGTATGTCTATACTGTAACCACAGGGTATGACTGTAGGTTGAATAGGCATTCCTGAACTAGCTCTAATGTAGGTCAGGCCCTGGAGCAGTGAAGGTGTGGCAGCAGGAGTTTCAGTGTGGCTTGTGTGAGCCTGCCTAGAACCCTGGGTAATTATTCATGGGGGAAGCTCACGCTACTGAGGGTTTACTGTTCTGGGACCCAAGCTAGCTAGATTAGATGGAGTATGTCTACTCAAGCTATAAGCACATCCTTTGATTAAAGTATAGACACACCCATAAATGCACAAGAGTGATATTGCTCCATCTTCCATAGCTGAATATCCTATAGGCAAGTGAGGCACATGTTTTCCAAAGGACATTCTTTAGTTACACACCTCAGTGCACTGAATCTTTTTGTACTTCGTTGTAATACTGATTAGTAAAGAGACTGGAACAGGGGGCTGCCTTACCTGCTAATAAAGTTCATTTGTACTTCAGTGCCTTAGCTGGAAATATGGTATGAAGCTGAAAGGTGTTTATGTTGGAAAATAAATGGGGCTGTTTTTTTAAAGCTGTATTTCCCCAAGTAGGAATTATATGGTGCTTATTTCCCTGCTACCTTACCTGATCCTGCTTTCAGTAAAACAATGTATGTATGCTTATGCATAAATAGTTCTATAGCCGTATAGATGGCTGCTATGTGTTCAGTGTGGAGAAACCTGGGAAAATGCTTTTTAGTGATTCTGTAGTGCAGTTTGGATGTAGTGATGGGCCATCTGAGAACAACGATAAAGATCCTCCAATGTATCTAGGTGCCTAAATCCCATGGGATTTAAGTGCTGAAATACCTCTGCGTATCTGAGCTCAAGAGTTTAAAAGTCATGTAAACAAAAGTCCTCATTCCGTGAGTTTGGGAGAGGACTGCCCTGTGCAATAAGGGCCCATTCCTGCATTCTTTTCACACCCCAAAATCCCATTAAAGGACAAACTGGCGGTGTAATGAAACTGCATGTCTTTCCAAATGTGAATAGGTGGGAAGGTGAATTCATCTGCTGCAAAAACACTATACTTTTTACAACCAAAATGTTTCAATTTTTAAATAGGATTTTGTCTTTCTTGAAAATGTCTGTAATTTGAAAAAAACCTCTCAATTCTTTAAGTTTTAAGATACAATAGAAAATTGAAAAGACCTAATGAATAATATAAAATTACACCTACTTGGGTGTTTAGTTGAATATTGTAGATACTTGGGTTTTCTCCCTTCATGTGATTGATAGGTGTATAGATACGTTTTCTTTTCGCTCTTTCCTACTGAGACCCAGTGTTAGATCAAAGACTTACGCTTGTGCTTAAATTGTGCAGTGTGATTTCAATGGAACTACTCACAGCAGGTACAAGTAAGTATTGCTTGACAGGATTGGGGCCGTAGTGACCCCAGTGTTGCACTACCTAAAATCTTTAACACATCCAATCAATTCCAAATCTTGCATTAGCTGATTTCTTCTTTTGTTGTAAATAGTTGATACTAGAAATGCCAAATTTTGGAACTTAAATTGATAGGAAACTTCAAAAGAATGAATCTTACCTTTCTATTTTTCTCTACACTATATTTTGTAGCTGCTGAACCACTCATTGCAGAAGTCATCATGAGACTTTGAGTGTCTGAGAGCTGCGAACAAAGACACTCTAGTTTACTCTGTGGAATATTATTGTAATGTCACGTGATTGCACCAGTAATTTTGTTTCCTTTCAGGCAGCATATCTTTCTGAATCATGCACTGAAGCGGACCATTACAGGCAGGGCCGGTGAAAGGATATTTTGTGCCCTAGGCGAAACTTCCACCTTGCGCCCCCCCCCCCCGCTCCCCCCCCCCCCCCCGGAGCATCGCTTATTAAAAACTTTCAAAAATGAATACTGCATAATGTGGCATTGTTCATTAGAATTAATACAAGGGGGTCAGAGAAGATGATTACAAGAGTCCCTTCTGGCCCTGAGAATGCCCCCAGTTCACAGGGTCTCTAAACGTTCCCAGGCTCTGAGTACTTCGCCCTCCGGAGGGGACCCAAGGGCAAGGAGGGCAGAGCTGGGCTCTCCCAGGGAGCAGGTGAGGATCTCCCTGGGGATCAGGGCCAGCTCCCTACATTGGCACAGTGCCACCGGGGGTGTGTGTCGGTGTTTGGAAGCGTCACCTGCGCCAGCCCTTTCCCCTCCGTCACGCTGCGGGATTTAATTTCACTTTCCCTCACCCCAGGAGGTGGCTGCGCCCAGCTCCAGGCGCGGCACGTTGGAGGGTGAAACTCACCTGAGCTCAGGACCGCATCCTGCCTCCCCCAACAGCTCTGTCCCTCGGCCGCAGCCTCCCACTGACCGTCCTGCGTGGTGCCCCTCACTGTGGGGGCGGGTTTCTTATGGAGGCCTTGCTCCCTGCCCTGCCCCACTCAGCTGATTCCCGTGACTCCGGACACCGCTTTTTGGCGCCCCCAAATCTTGGCGCCCTAGGCGGCCACTTAGTTTGCCTAGTGGTTACAGGTCAGTGCATAGCAAAGCTACCTGGTGTAATATCCTAACTCCATTGAAATCAAAAGGAATTTTGCCATTGACTTCAATAGGTTCAGGATTTCATCCTGGAAACCAGTGTTTTTCATTTATTGGGGCTCGATCTTGCTGCCATTGCAGTCTGGACAAAACTCCCATTAATTTCACTGAGAGCAGCATTGGGCCCCACTATGACTTGACATGAATTTGGTACATTTAGAGAATGTATATGTAGATGTAAGCAGGGTCTGAATGATTTTCTCCCCTGACAGCTAGCTGGGAGTGGGGAGAGACTTCAGGAGCAAACTGTATTTACATGAGCACACCCACTCTGCCTAGATATCCAGCAGATAGAGTGGTGTTGCTCAAAGTGATCAACTTTGGCTGGTGTTGGGTTAAAAATCACTTTAATACTAAATACAGGGGTAGTGAAAAGTTATCAGTATTGTTGTCTTTATTGTATGAATAAAGGGGAGCAGAACTGTACTTAACCTGTTCTGAATGAGGGGGTCACCCTCAGCTGAAAGGACCTTGTTAAGTCTGGGGCTCGAATGCCAGAGCCCGTGGAAGTAAGAGGGGTGGGGATAGGTGTCCAAGCCAGGAAGTGTGGACTCTCCCAAAGGTCCTCTTAAGAATTTGTGGCTTCTGAAAATTGAAGTAACTCTCATGAGTGGTTATAATTATGTGAACTGCAAATTGTTACTTGCTTATTATTTTCACATTACTTTTCAAATGTACATGCGTGCCCATGTAAATGTATATCAAAGTAATCATGGATTCTTTTAACAGTGCCCAAGAAAATCACGGATGTTTTTAAAGGCAGTTAATCTGAACACGTACAATGTCAAACTCTGCTTAATCTCAAATACTAATACTATAACCGCAATACAGTGCCTGCCTTTGCAACTGTTTGAGGCTGCATTTCCAACATAGTACTCATCTTTTCCATGTATGCACTGTAGTAAACTTTCAATAGCTATAGCTGTTAATTACTTTTACCTTAACTTAAAATACACATTTGAGAAGGGCTGATTTCCATTTCATATAGTTTTAAATCTGATATTTTGCTTAAAAATGTCATTTTCTGTCTCTTTTATAGTGTATAGTAAATTGTAATGAGAACAATTAGAGAATGTTTTTTTTTCTTTAATCCTCAGTGTCAATATCAACTATTTCTGAGATTTCCAGATTCTGCAAACTCCTGTTAACATTGTCCCATTAAAATCAATGTCAACACTCCGATTGACTTCAATGGGGACAGGGTCAGGCCCCTTATTAACAAGGATCATTCCTGTGCACAAAGAGTATGCAGGATTGGGCTTTTTTTCCTGGTTACTTAGTGCCAACCACTGCACAGTAAACAATTCATTTCAAGGCTTAGACGTGTCTGATTTTAAGTTTCAAGATTTGTTTTAGATTAAAAACACATTTGGGAGAGTGTTTACCTTGCTTGTGGGCTCAGGGCCAAATCCAACTCACCTTACTCACTCAGAAGCAGGATTTGGCCCTACATCGGAATTCATTACATAGAAGCATTTTTTTATAAATCAGAACCAAAGAATTTACAGGCACATATCAAAAATGTGAGTGAAAGACCCTTATTTTGGTAAGGAAGCAAGTTAAGATTACTCAAAGCTAAACGGTACACAATAGTCTCGGCAGCCATTGCCTTGGATACTTTTGCTTAAACATATGAGAAGTTTAAAGGTTTCAGACCTTGTTCTCAGGCAGTCTTTTCTCATGTGCTTTTGTAATGGTCATGGCATAGTCAGGGTGACTTCTTTTCTGTTGGTGAAAAAAGATAGGAGGGATATAAGATATATAATTTCCTATGAACATACTTATGGTTTTTGTGATTTTGTTGGTCTGGTTTATTCTGTTCTGAAAACAAATAAAACAGTTTCTTCATTGATAAATGTACAACCACAGACCATGTTTCTCAAAGGTAATGGAAACAGGCAGCAAGCTACATACAGAAAATAATGGGAAGTTATTTTTCACTTGGGAATTTAACCTTGGAATAATAAATAGATTTTATTTCTGTCTCTGTCATGTGCCTTTTAATCCCCCCCCCCATTCTAGTAATTCTTCTTTATACACCTGTGGTGACTGCTCCATCTAAACAAGTGGAAATTCTGTTTCCATTAGAATTCCACTATGTCTTTTTAGTTACAACCAGCGCTAGTGAATACAACTCAGTTCATAAAATAAGCCTCTGATTTTACACTTTATCTGCGTACATTTTTAACACATAAAAATCTTGGTAATCATTCTCTAAACGAAGAAACTGTTATAAACCAAACATGAATTAAATTGAAGTGACTGCATAATTCCTAAACCATAATTCTGGAGCTGTAGTATGAGTGGAACATAGAGCATTTGGTATAAATAAACAC